CAGCCGCGTTCACTGCACCGTGCTCTCTGTGTTGGCGCGACTTGGTGGTAAGGCCACAGACATCGCGCATTGGGTCCCATGCTTTCCAAACTCCCTTGGCCTGGGCCCTTCCGCAGCCCAGTTGGCGCCACACATTCATTCCAAGACACACGGGCGAGGCTTTCCACGTTCTCAAGTCCGCTGGCATGCAGGTTTCCTGCTTCCTGCTAGTAAAGGTCCATTCCAACCATTTTTATGTAAGTCATTTCTGTTCGTGCCAAAATCGTTCCAAACAACGGAAACTCTTCCTAACAATGACAACCGTGAGAGATGCTTTTTTTTTGTGACCAACCACTGCCAAGAACTGATGGTAATTCTCAGTTTTTAAAACACAAAATAGGGAACAATTTTAAAAGGACTACCTTTTTTGTAATTACTTGTTTTTGCTGGATTATTAAAGTGACGGATATATTTAATCGTACTATAAAGCAAACCAATTGACTCACTGCTCGCTATTCATTGCCCACAGAATGTAATTCTTTTTAAATAATTATTGACTCTCTGGCGCAGGTGGCGCGTGCTCTGTCTGTATATCTAGCACTCTGGATGGCCAAGCATGGCGGGAACACCCTGCGATGGCGTCTGGGAACAGTTAAGACAAGCTCTGCCAACTTATGTGGATATTATCTCTTGTCATCTATTAAAAAACTTCAAAAAATTGGTCTGGCCGGTGGGGTCTCACTGCTCTGTAATCCTATGATCTTTGGGATGGCCAACATGGGTGGTGGAGATCACTCTCGAGGTTCAGCGAGCTTTATCGAGACCAGCCTCTGGGCCAGTCTATGGTACAAAACTCCATCTCTTCTTTAAAAATATATCAAAATTAGCTGGCGTCTGGTGGTGCATGGCACATCCCTCTAATCCCAGCTTACTCGCGCACGGCTGGGCGCGCGCAGGAGAATGGTTGGACTACAGAAGGGGAAGGTTTGCCAGTGGAGCCAAGATCGCGCCCATCTTCCAACGCTCTGATTGATCAGATCGATCCTGCATCTCAAACAAAAAAAAGAAAGGTAAATTAGCGCCTCGAGCGAGCTGGCCACTACCTGTAATTCCCAGCTACCCTCGGAGGCTGATGGCAGGAGAATGCTTGAAATCTGGGAGGTGGAGGCTGCAGTGAAACTGAGATTCACGCCACTGCACTCCAGCCTGGGCACAAGTGACAGACTCTGTGCTCCGAAAAAAAAAATTAAATTTCCAAAATAATAAATACAAAATAAAAATTGAATTCCTGTTGAACACGGCACTTTCTGAACCTTGGCAACATCCTTATAATGAGAACTTTAAAATCGCATTTCATACTGGGTTCATAAAATACTCCTTAAGGAATAAACATCGGAACAATGAACATATCCTTCGAGGAACAAAAAACACTGACGGTGCTACACAAAATATCAATGATAAAATTAAGCTGGCAATCAATAAAGAAAACAATAGACATATTGCCAAAAACTGGTCCCTCTCTGTGATTGTGGCCACATCGGGACCAAGAATGGTGGGACAGCGAACAGAGAATAAAGTCAAAAAAGCAATGGGGTTGGGCATAATACTGCTTAGATTTTGCCTTTTTTCCCTCATATATGCAGATTTTCACTATGCCACTTTGGTGGGTGGGTGTGTTATGTTATGTGTTCTTTACTTTTCAAAATCAAGTTGTGTACAGATTCCATTTCAGAATGCTCTTTCAGGCTGGGCACAGTGCCTCACAACCTGTATCCCAGCACTTTGAGAGGCCAAAGTGGGCAGATCTCTTTGGTCAGGAGTTCGAGACCAGCCGTGGCAAACTGGTGAAACCTTGTCTCTACTAAAAATACAAAACAAAAAATTAGCCGGCGCATGGTTGTGTGCGCCTACATAGTCCCCAAGCTACTCGGGAGGCTGAGGCAAGAGAATCGCTTGAACGGGAGATAGACACTGCAGTGAGCCGAGATGGCACCACTATACTCCAGCCTGCGACGACAGACTGAGACTCCATCTCAAAAAAAAAAAACACTCAAAAAAAAAAACACTCTCTCACACGGGGAACTTTCCTTTTAAACATCCATGCTTTAAGGCTTATAATCTAAACCAAGACTATAGACAAGACTATAGATTTAGTCATCTAAAGTAGTGTCAGTTGACAATTCAAGGCGGTTACATCTTGTTTAAAAAAAAAAAAAAAAAAAAGACGACGACTTTGGCCAGGTGCAGTGGCTCATACCTGTAATCCCAGCACTTTGGGAGGCTGAGGCAGGAGGATCGCTTAAGCTCAGGTTCAAGACCAGCCTGAGCAAGCGCAAGACCCAGTCTCTATAAAAATTAGAAAAATTAGAAAAATTAGCCACGCATGGTAGTAGGTGCCTGTAGTCCCAGTTACTTGGGAGGCTGAGGCGGGAGGATCACATGAACCCAGGAGGTCAAGGCTGCAGTGAGCCATGATCACGCCACTGCAGTTCAGCCTGGTGACAGAGTGACACCCTGTCTCAAAAAATAAAAATAAAATAAAATAAAAAAGAAGACTTTAAGAACTTGATTTTGCTTTTAAAATATTAACCAGCTTTGATAAAAGCAAGACAACTCCAAACATTCAGTAATTCATCCAGAATTAACACTAGTTACTCACAAAACTTTAGGTCTGTCTTTATCACTCTCATACAGACTAGGTTTGAAGTAGGTTCCAGTGATTTTTATCCCAGATCCCCATTCTCCACTAAAATAACCTTCAATGTAGTCTCCATTTGGCATAGTCAGTGTTCCCTAGGTAAAGTCAGAGAATAAAATGTGGGGTTAGAGGAAATATATTCAATATTTATTTATTTATTTGGAGACAGAGTCTTACTCTATTGCCCAGGCTGGGGTGCAATGGTGCGATCCTGGCTCACTGCAACTTCTGCTTCCTGGGTTCAAGTGATCCTCCTGCCTCAGCCTCCCAAGTAGCTGGGATCACAGGCGCCCGCCACCACGCCCAGCTAAGTTTTTATGTTTTCAGTAAAGACGGGGTTCCACCATGCTGGCCAGGCTGGTCTCGAATTCCTCACCTCAAGTGATTCACCCACCTTGGCCTCCCAAAGTGCTGGGATTACAGGCATGAGCTACCACGCCCAGCCCTCAATTTTTAAAATTAAGAGTAAAAAAGCACTAAATGGTTGTTTTCCTTTTTAACTTGCTCTTTACCAGTCTCTAACTCTTTAAATCTCAAACAAAATATGGGCACATGCATGTCTCTAAGAGTATATGAAAATAATCCATGGGTAAAAGAAAAAAAAACACACACAGGGAAAACTCGAAAATATTTTGAACTGTATAAAATGACCATACAATATATTAAAATATAGGGGATGATGTAAATTACAAGCAGTGCTTAGAGGGAAACTTATAGCTGTTAACACCTATCTTTTCAGGAAGATCTTGAATCAGTAATGTAAAATTCCACATAATAAAATTACAAAAGGAGGAACAAACTAACAACCTAAATCCAAAGCAAGAAAGAGGAGGGAAATGATAAAGATTAGTGCAAAAATCAGTAGATGAGATAGAAAACAAAAAATAAAGAAAAATCAATGAAACTAAAAGTTGCTTCTTTGAAAAGATACACAAAATTGACATTTAACTACATTAATCAAGCAAAAAAGAGAAAACAAAAGTTTATAAAATCAAGAGTGAAACAGGTTATTACTACCAGCCTATAGAATTAAAAAAGTTAGAAGGTGCTATGTTTTGAAAGTGTCTCCTCTAAAATCTGTACTGAAACTTAAACCCTATTGTGATGGTTGTAAGAGGTGGGGCCTTTTGGGAAGTGATTAAGGACAGTGTCCTCATGAATGCAGCAGTGCCTTAGAAAATGGCCAGAGGGTTGGGCGCAGTGGCTCACACCTGTAATCCTAGCACTTTGGGAGGCCGAGGTGGGTGGATCACAAGGTCAGGAGTTCGAGACCAGCCTGACCAACATGGTGAAGCCCCATCTCTACTAAAAATACAAAAATTAGCTGTGCATGATGGCACGCACCTGTAATCCCATCTACTCAGGAGGCTGAGGCAGAAGAATCGCTTGAACCCAGAAGGTGGAGGTTGCAGTGAGTGGAGATCGTGCCACTGCACTTCAGGCTGGGTGACAGAGCAAGACTCTATCTCAAAAGAAAAAAAACAAAAAGAAAAGTGCCAGAGGGAACTATCTTAGGCCTTTCTGACCTTCCATCTTTTGCTATGTGAGGACTCAGCCAAGAAGGCCTTCACCAGACAGGGAATGCTGTTGCCTTGATCTTGGACCTCCCAGCTTGCAAAATTATGAAGAAATAAATTTCCCAGTCTATGATATTTTATTATAGCATCACAAACATGTGAAGACAGAATGGAATACTAAGAGAACAGCTTTATGCTAACTAAGTAGATAACACAGAGAAATAGAAAAATTCCTAGGAAGACAAAAAGTACCAAAACTGACTCAATGAGAAATAGAAAATCTAAATAGACCTAAAGCAAGTAAAAAAACTGAGTTAGAAATTAAAAATTTTCTCACAAAGTAATGCTTAGGCCCAGAAGACTTCATTGGTGAATTCTCCCAAACATTCAAAGAAGAAATAATAACAAAGTTTCGCAAACTTTCAGAAAACAGGGGAGGAGGGAACACTTCCCAACTCGTTCTATGAGGCCAGAATTATCCTGATATCAAAGACAGACAAAGACATCACAATAGAAGAAAACTACAGACCATTACCTCTCACAAATATGAATGCAAAAATCCTCAACAAAATATTGGCATTAAATCCAGCAACATCAACATATAAAAAAATTATACACCATGACCAAGTACAATTCATCCCAGGAGGGCAAGGTTGGTTTAACATCAGAAAAGCAACCAATATAATACACCATATTAGTAGAATAAATGATAAAAACCACACGATCATCTCAACAGACGATGGAAAAGCACTTTAACAAAAATGCTTTTAAGCCAGGCATGGTGGCTCATGTCTGTAATCCTAGCACTGTGGGTGGATTGCTTCGGCTCAGGAATTTGAGACCAGCTTGGGCAACATAGCGAAACCCTGTCTCTAAAAAAAAAAAAAAAAAAAAAAAATTAGCCAGGCATGGTGGCATGTGCCTGTAGTCCCAGTTATTTGGGGGGCTGAGGAGGGAGGATTACTTGAGCCCAGGAGGTTGAGACTGCAGGGAGCTGAGATCACACCACTGCACTCCAGCCTGGGTGACAAAGTGAGACCCTATCTCAAAAAAAAAAGCTTTTCTCTAAAATAGAAAACAATGTAAAGATGTCCAATCTTAATATTTTCTATTCAACATTCCACAGGAGACTCTAGCCAGTGCAACTGGACAAGAAAAATAAATAAAAGCCTTCCATATTATAAAGAAAGAAGCAAAAATCTATTTACTTGTAGGTGACATGATTCTGTATGCAAGAAATCCTAAGAAATACACACACACACACACACACACACAAATACTAACACTAATAAACAAATTCAGCAAGATTTCAGGATACAAGAACAAAATACAAAATCAACTGCATTTTTTTTATTATAGCAATGAACAATCTGAAAATGAAATTAAGAAAACAATGCTTTACAATAGCACCAATAAAATACTTAGAAATAAATTTAACCAAAGAAAGGCAAGATGTGTACACTGAAACCTAGAAAACGTTGCTGAGAGAAATTAAAGATCTAAATAGACTGTGAGATGTTCTATGTTCATGGGTTGGAAGAGTCAATATTATTACTACGGCAATTCTCCCCAAATTGATCTATAGATTCAATGCAATCTCTATCAAAATCTTAGCAAGGTTTATTGCAGAATCTTGATAAGCCAGTCCTAAAATTTATATGAAAAGGCAAAGAATCTAGATTCGCCAGAACAATTTTGAAGAAGAACAAATTTGGAGGACTTATATTCCTGATTTCACAACTTACTAGGAATCAACAGTAATCAAGATGGTGTGGTATTAACACAAGGAGAGACATGTTGATCAGTGAAATATAACTGAGAGACCAGAAATAAACACATTTTCTGGTCAACAAAGGTGCCAAGATTCAACGGGAAAAGGTGCTGGGAAATTTGGATAGCCATATGCAAAAATATTAATTTGGACACATAACTCAACCCATATACAAAAGTTATCTTAAAATCAATCACAGACCTAAATATAAAAGGCAAAACAAAAAAAATTTTTTTTTTTTTTTTTATGTTAGATGGAGTCTCACTCTGTCGCCCAGGCTGGGGTATAATGCTGGGATCTCGGCTCACTGCAAACTCCACCTCCCAGGTTCACGCCATTCTCCTGCCTCGGCCTCCCGAGTAGCTGGGACTACAGGTGCCCGCCATCACACCTGGTTAATTTTTTGTATTTTTAGTAGAGATTGGGGTTTCACCGTGTTTGCTAGGATGGTCTTGATCTCCTGACCTCGTGATCTACCCGCCTCGGCCTCCCAAAGTACTGGGATTACAGGAGTGAGCCAAAAGGCAAAGACTTCTTAGACATAACATCAAAAGCATAATTCATAAAATTTTTTATAGAGTTCGTTAAAATGAAAAACTTTTCTATTTCAAAAGACACCATTAAGAAAATAAAAGACAAGTCACAGACTGCAAGAAAATATTTACAAATCATATCTGATAAAGGACATGTATCCAGAATACAGAAAGAATCCTTATAATTCATACAAGAGTACAAACAAAATTTTATAAATAGGCCAAAGATCTGAACAGACATTTCATCAAAGAAGATATATGAATCACTAATAAGCATGTTCTACATCATTAGTCACTAGGGAAATGCAAATGAAAACCAGGATATACCACTTCCTACCCATTGGAATGGTTGTAAGAAAAAAAGACTGAAAATAAGAAATATTTTTTGATATGGAGAAATTAGTATCCTCACACATTGCTGATGGGAATGTAAAATGGTACAGACATTTTGGAAAAAAGTTTGACAGTTTCTTAATACGTTAAACATCAATTTACCATAAAACCCAGCAATTACACTCTAGGCATCTAGTTGAGAAATGAAAATGAAAATATATGTCTACACAAGAAACTGCATTTGAAAGTTTATGGCAGCATTATTCACAATAGTCTTAAGTTGGAAATAACTTAATGTCCATCAACTGGTAAAAGAATAAACAAAATCTAGTTTTGGAAAACTATTCAGTCATAAAAAGGAACAAATACTATACATGCCACAATATGGAAAAAACAAAAACATTATGCTAAGTGTAGGAAGCCACATAGAGGAGATTGCATGTATGATTCCATTTATACAAAAGGCCCAGAAAAGGTAAATCTATAGAGTGATTAAGAGTGATTAGTGGTTGGCTGGGATTGGTGGTGGAAATGGAAGTCACTGAATGAGCAGAAGGGATTTTCTTGGGTGACGGAAATGTTCTGAAATTGGATTGTGGTGGTAGTTTGTACAGCTATGTTGACTAAAAATCACTGAAATGTGCACTTGAAAGGGATGAATTTTATGGATATATAAATCAGCTATTTTTAAAGTCAAAAAAATTAGTAAAAGAATTTATTAGAGAGAAAAAGAAGAAAGCTAGTTTCCAACCTTTCCACTAAGAGTCCAGTCATCTGAAAATTCTCCCTCATAGATAGTATCATCTTCGGAAAGCAAAACCCCATTTCCCTATAAGAAGAAAACAAGAGAAAAATTACAACACATAAAATAGAGTAACTTAAGAGTGCACGCAGTCATATCCCCAAAGCCTTATGGAATCTTAAAAGAAGGAAAATAGTACTAAGAGGTAGAAACTAATCAAAAGATGACTTAAAATGTTAGAGACAAAGGAGCTTTAACAAGTTAGTAATAACTACATGCAAATATTCCACTCACCATCATTTTATTAAGGTGAAAGTTGCCCTCATAGTATAATCCAAACTGGGTAACCACCACACCATTCCCTTGACACACATCATCTTGCCACATTCCCATATACTTTTCCCCCCTGCACAGAAATAAAAAGAAAAGAAAAAGCACTGAAGACAAGGATAAAGTAGGGAAAAGACAATTATCACATGGGAGATCCCAGGCATCAACCCTAGGCTGGTATAGATTCCATTTTTCTAGTTAAAGTAGTTAACTTTGTCTCCTCAAATATGGGACAAGGTAAGAGCAAAAGACATCTCACTCAGTAATGTTCTCTGAGGAATTTAATATTGTGGTCTATCTGACACAGATCTGTAGATACCCCAGGTAGTTACTTGATAACTTTAAAATATATAATTTTTAAAAAGAAGGCCTAGAATTCAACTCTAAATAATTTCATTTAAAATGTAATAAGCAGAATAAAACCTATGCACAGGTTTTTCTTACACAAAAGTTTGCTAACTTAAAAAGAAAGAGGCTGGGTGCGGTGGCTCATGCCTATAATCCCAGCACTTTGGGAGGCAAAGGCAGGTGGAACACTTGAGGCCAGGAGTTCGAGACCAGCCTGGACAATATGGCAAAACCCCATCTCTACCAAAAATACAAAAAATTAACTGGGTGTGGTGGTGTGTGCCTGTGGTCCCAGCTACTTGGTAGACTGAGGTAGGAGGATCCCTTGAACCCAGGAGGCAGACATTGCAGTGAGCTGAGATCGCACCACTTCAGCCTGGGTGACAGAGTGAGACCCTATCTCAAAAAATAAAAAAAAATAAATAAAAGGGTTTGTCGTAAAAGAAGGTTTATTTTTCACCTACTCAAACTCAAAGAAATCTTACTAATCTCCACGAAAAAGACAAAATAAGTATAAACTGCTTGTTAAATAATCATGGTACTTAATCATTTGCTTAAACTGTGAGAAAAGAAGGAGAACACTGTACCTAGTGATATCATCAAAGACACCATATCCTGCTTTCTTATCCGTTACCCACTGGCCAATGAACATACTAGGAGAAGAGGACGTCAATTTCCCACTTCGTAGAAGGCCATGACCATGACGCATATTATCTTGGAAACAACCCTCAAACACTTCACCAGAAGCATAGCTGTGGTTGGAAAGAATGGATAATTACCACATGCACATTGAATTCTGATGCTCATTTTTACAAAGTTTAGAAAATCCAAAACCATACTCAGTCTCACTGGTAGCTATAATTATTTGTTTATATGATTATTTTTCACCAATTAAAAAAACCTTGTTTTTGAATGATTAAAGTTAAAAAGTTAAAGACACCATGGGTGGTATTTTGCATTAACATGGAAAAAAATGTGTTTTTAGTCTCTTATGGGAAAATGAAATAATGAGTTTTTTGTAAGAGGGAAGAATAAAAGTTTTGTCCATTAGAATCAAGTAAATAAAAATAAGATAAATTTATAGATAAGACATATAGGAGTCTCTATGAGAAAATTATGGTTTATAAGGTATATAAAATTTAGATAAGAACTAAATTTAATAATCCAGTATTTTCATCCTGTGATAGATGAGGGGTTGACCTTTAAAAGAAGATCACAGAGAGTTTCAATTTTATTTACTCCTCTAAATTTTATCTATAAGACTAAGCAAAACTTAAACCTTGGAAATTTTGACTATGCAAACATTCAGGTTTACATGGTTATATGAAAAACCAACACCAGTCCAACAGCCTTTCCAATGTCATTACCTGTAGACTCCTTGACCGCACATTTTTCCTTCTTTCCAATGGCCCACATAATGGTCTTCTTTGTTAATTGCCTTGTTTGGGATTCTGTATTCTCCATACCTGCCACGAAAAAGAAAAAATAACAAAAGAATATGCATTTATGACATATTCACCTTTTGTATGTGTATCGTGGTAAACATTTTAACAAGGAAGACACAGAAAACATTCACCTGTAGGAGGAAAGGGTTAAAACAGCATCTTGGTTTAAGGTGAATCTATAACCTAAGCTGTTTGGCAAGAGGAGTGGGACATCAGCCTCACTACACTAAGATATGGTGTTTTAATACAAGTCTGGTGAAAAACAGAAGACCTGTGTCCTTTGCTTATCTCTGTCACTAATTACCTGCACCACCATGGGGTAAGCCCAGGTATCCAGCTCCTTTATTTAGATAATAAGAGGGGCAACTCAGTGGGTAAATGAGATGATCTAAAGTCCTTCTCATTCTAACAATCTATTAAAAAGAGACTTTAACACATCACAAGAATTTACATGATCACACAGACACACAAAATCACCTACCCAACATTTTTTACACATTAAAATAAATTACTTCCTTAACATTATACAAAATACTGTCACAAACTAATCATGTAAATACATTTCTAGTGTTAGAAAACATGATAAATTTATTTTAAAAAGTCATTAGAACATCATTAGGATAACAGAGCACTTGGAAATTTTCTCTTTTAACATACCGCAGAAATTAAAGATGACTTAAAACAACTGAAAGGAAAATTTTTCTATGTCCTTTGTGTAAAGGGGGACTACTGTCTCAATAGTCCTACCATTAACATTACCAAAGTTCTCAGTCTTCACAACTGAGAAAGTATAGAAAACATAGCCCCATTTTAACAGATGGAAGGCTGTGTAATTTGAGGTCACACAGCTATCAAGGAAAATGACCCAGTCTAGGTAAATCAGAGGCTGTACCCCTCACTCCTGGCTCTCTTCATGATCATACATGTGCATTTCTGAAAAATAACAACAAAAATCTACTTTTGTTTGAAAAGCAGCTCTGCATACAAAATAACATAATTTATGACTTTAAATTGAACTTGAATTTACTATCATATTTTACACAATTTTCTTACCCATCTTCCAAGCCATTCCTGAACATGCCAGAATACATCTTTCCATCAGGCCACTTCAAAACCCCTCTGGAATGCGTAAGCAAAGAATAATGCATGTCAACTAATATTTCAGGTAATCAATACTTTTTCTATCATGTGATGATCATCCTCACCCCAGGTATAAATCTTCAACATTTTCACCTGCCATGAGGCTTCCCTGAAAGCCAGCGTCCATCATAGGTGGCATCCTTTAGGCGAGGATCTTTGTAGAAAGTATATTTGGCACTGCGTGAAATGGGTGGTTCCTGTCTCTGAACACTGCTACCACTTCCATAAGCGGGAAGATCAGACATCCCTCTCAAAGCCTGATCTACAGCTTGGCTTATAGCTCGCAGCCACTTTGTCTAGGAGCAAAAAGTAATGTCAATAAGCTTAAGGCAACAATTCATCAAGCATTGCTTTACACCCTGTTAGTTTTCTTTGGTGTGAATAAATTATTTGCGTCCCATGCTTTTCCTGTTAATAGAGTAATATTGACTGGCTCTTGGATTTCTCTGCTGTATGTTTAAAATTAAGTCACATTAAAAAAAAAAAAACAAAACCAAGAACCTATAGTTTTGGCTTAATGAAGATTTATCAGACAGAACTGTGCATCATTAGTCAAACAAGAACAATTTATATTTCTTCTTTATTACACAAGAGGCAGAAAGAGCCAGGGTGAAGACTGAAAGAAAATACCATAATGGACTAACCTTTTCCTGGGGTGTAGATGAAATGAGAGTGAACTGCTCCTCAGGCGTGGTTATCTTTAAGCCATTCCTAAAACGTTCACAAGGACAAATACCAGTAGGTTTAACAACCTGTCGTTACAGTATCAATCCTCAAATTTGAAAAGCAACCTCTTTATTTCAAGAGGAGCAGAAGTCAATTAATGTAAACGCTTGTTTGGTTTTGGGTCCCACCATGGTGGAAAGAACAAAGAATTCTCTGCTCTGTGTTGAACGATGGGGATGTGTGCAATGAAGATGCCTTTTCATCACCTGATCGTGACTTGCCATGATCTTTGCAACAGGCCATTTTATTATCAATAGACTGCTTTACTGTCTAATGTGCTGGGAGGTGGGTCTCGTTATGCAGAATGGGGAGACTGTCTCCCAAGTCCTCCTGAGCCTTTTTTCACATTTAAGGAAGCAACCTGGGTAACAGACTTGGACGGGGTAGAGTGGGGAGGGGGGACACACTTACACACCACCAGCTTCTTCAGACAGTGGCTCTGCCCACAGCGTGGCCAGAGGGAAAACATGGTGTGTGGAGAACTGAAACAGAGAACATGGAGGCGCTTTTATGAAAGCCCATGTAGACTTTGGGGTCTCTGCCCATACCCCCTTCATGTCATTAACCCACATGCGCCCTGCAGTCGCTGCTGCACAACCCCTTGAAATAGTTCCGTCCATGCAGGTGCCACCAATTCTGCCACATTGTCCCCATAACACAGCTAACCCAAAGGGCCTTGCCATCTCTGCTGCAGGGCCCCTTTCACATGGCTGCCACTCATTCTCAAGCTGGAAACTTCAGAAGTTCTCTGAAATCCAGTGCATACACAAATCCATGCTGTAGCTGAACAGTCTCTTTCAGTCAACAGTTTCAGTAAACTCACACTAGTTTTGAACATAAACTGATAGTATAGTTAAAAAGGATAGGATTCCACCTTTCAGGGATTCTTTTAAGGTGAGGAATCCAGCCTACCTGGGCATGGACCAGTGCATCATTAAAGAGAATGAACCAATTCACAGAAAACCTCCCAGCATGCTGCAGAGACAGGGCTCGGTTACTGCTCTCACACAGCAGTCGACGCTCTGGCTTCCTCAAGGAGTCCTGGAATTAAAGACAAATATAATACTAAGTGAAACAATCAAAATCATTTTAACATGCAAAGAGAAAATAAAACAGACACAAATCACGTTTAAGGGAATTTGGTGGTCATAGCTTAGCGTGCTGTAAAAACTAAATTTATATGGGATCTAACCACTTCACAAAATCAGAGCTCAAAGGAGATTAAAAAGAAGACAAAAACAAACTAAAGGTGAGTAAGTCTTCAGAGAGGATTTCTAGAAATGAGAGAAGGTATTTAGAGTACCCATTGGTATGGTCTTTAGACATTTTAGGAAAGGGGTCATTAAAATGTTATTGCCATAAACAAGTGAGGAACAGAGAAAATGATATCAATTGTTATCGAAACAGTTGCTGTTTGCTAGGGTAACAAATGACAATTGGCACGGCTTACCGTCATTTTTCCGGGGAAGGTCTTCCAGAAGCCCAGTGTGTATTCTGCTTCCTTCCTCTTCCTGCCGAGATGGAGAGCAAGACACTCATAACAAGAACTGGAATCCTGCAGTTTCTGATATTCTGGAGATGCCTACAGGGCAAAAATTAAAGAGGAAAAAAAAAGAACATAAAATCATCATCCAGAATCTGTAGCCTCAGTCTGCTTTAGATATATAGCATTAAATGCAGGGGAAAATTTGGCCCAAGAGCATAAGTAGCACATTGCAGGAGACTGGGAAAAGGAGATTGGTTTTAGAAAAATTCTACTACATAAAAATACATATGAAATAGGGGAATAATTCAGGGGAGAGAGACAAAACCCGGCAGTTACTGAGGAGAGCAGCAGAGACCCCAGGATAGGGCAGGAGTTCTCAAATGTTTTGGTCTCGGGATCCCTTTATTTTTCTTATGTGGACTGTATCTATTAATATTTACCATATTAGAACGTAAAATTAAGAAATGTCAAAAGCTTTTATTAATTCACTTACAAAACTTTTTTAGTGGCAGGGCTCGGTGGCTCACGCCTATAATCTCAGCACTTCGGGAGGCCAAGGCGGGCGGATCATGAGGTCAGGGGATCAAGACCATCCTGGCTAACAGTGAAACTCTGTTTCTAATAAAAATACAAAAAATTAGCCAGGCGTGCTGGCGGGCACCTGTAGTCCCAGCTACTCGGGAGGCTGAGGCAGGAGAATGGCGTGAACCCAGGAGGTGGAGCTTGCAGTGAGCTGAGATGCGCACTCCAGCCTGGGCAACAGAGCAAGACTCCGTCTCAAAAAAAAAAAAAAAGTTTTTAGTGAGAAAAGTGGCAATGGTCCACATTTTTTCTAATCTCTTTATTATCTGGCTTTAAAAATGACAGCTGGACTTTTATATCAGCTTCTGCATTTACTGTGTTATATGTTGTTTGGTTAAAACCTATGAAGAAAATCTGGTCTTATAAAGGTATATATCTGGAATAGAGAGAAGCATTTTAATAGCCATTTCAAATGAATGTGGATATTTTCCTTTGATACTACATTAAAACTTGCTAAGTGGTAGATTCTTAAAGAGAGCTGCAATGTGGAATTTAAAACCACGGCCATGAGCTTTTTGTACGCTGAGATGTTAAAATCCAGGGGTTCATCACGCTCTTTGAATGGGTCTTTTACCATCTATGACTTTGTACCATCTATGATTGTGGATTGGACATATAGAAAATACTGGTTGACTGAATTATGCAGATTTTCCAAATGTTGACATCTTTCTTCTACAACATCAAAAATCAAAGGATCATAGAACCACCAATCTCATGAGATAAAGTCCTAAGTATCAGGAAACTGTCACACTCACAGTGGTAGATTCATCTCTAACATTCTAATTTTTGCTTAAAAGTTGAGATTTTATGATTGGCAACAAATACTATCATTTGTTCCCTTTGAAATGACAGGTTCATTTACTCATTTCTGAGAAAATATCTGCCAAAGTGAAACAATCAAAATCATTTTAACATGCAAAGAGAAAATAAAAACAATTTATATTTCTTCTTTATTACACAAGAGGCAGAAAGAGCCAGGGTGAAGACTGAAAGAAAATACCATAATGGACTAACCTTTTCCTGGGGTGAAAAACCACCACACTTCAGCATGCAGCAGAACGGCTTTACATGTACTCTGCACGTCACCACACGTAATAGGACATTCTTAAGTGAAATTGTATTTTAACTGCAAGTGCATGGCAATGAAGAATGCAATGACTACTAGTATAGTCTGGTGCCACTGCCTTGATTCCTACCAAGGAGCCAGCAGTTTTACCCACCTTAACTTCTGCACTATCAATGTAAATGACAACACAGTGGAAAAGGCAAATATCTTAGTACTGTCATGAAAATAGTTTTGACCTTGTGAACCTCTTGAAATGGTCTTTGGAAGCCCCAGGGGTCTGCAAACCAAGCTTTGAGAACCAACTACTGGGATGGGTGTAACTGCTATGCCATGTAGTGAGGGAGCAGAAGGTAAGATCGAAGGATGATCTCTCACATTCATGAGTTTACTTGCCACAATTGTGAGAGTCACTCATTTTCATTTTTTCCATTCACTTAAGAAACATTTAATGAGTATCTACCACATATGAAACATTCTGCTAGAATGCTAGGGAAAAAAAATAAGGCATGATCTTTGTACCATAATTAGGCAGACAAGATAGAAAAATGTACCAGAATAATGCAGTGGTTTTGTTAACAGGTTATATACCATAAAAGACAATCTAGAAAAGTAGGTTAAGAGAACAGATTCTGGAACCAGAGCGTGGATATGAATTGTAGCTCTGCCAGTTCTCAGCTGTGTCTCAATTCTCTCATCTGTAAAAGGCTGCTGATGAAATAGGTATAATAATAATGCCTACTTCACCGAGTTGATGTGGGGATTAAATGAATACATATAATTTGCTTAGAACAGTGCCTGGCATATGGAATTCATTCAATAAATGTTAAGTATTATTATTATTTTTATATGGAGACATTTAAAAAATACATATATGTGTACACACACACGATGTCAAAGGTGTGCCTTAGACTTACTCAATTATAATGTATAGTGATGGAATACGGGCAGGTTTGTTTTGAAAAAGCTTCCACAGTTGATTCTGACCCCCTGTGATGAGGATAAGGGCCACTGATATAACATGAGAAGTGAATAATGGAAAGTGTTAGCAAAATAGAGTAAATAATCCTTCAGAGATGGACAGGGGAAAGAGAACCAATATAGTCAAAGAGGGCTTTATTTTCATGATAAAATGACTTTTGTCCCAGAATGAGGATGGGAGTGGGAGTGTTTCAGGAAGGAAATATAAAGCACATGAAAGCTACATCCAGGAAAACTGAACTCTGACTCTGAACAATTCTAAGCTGATCTGGTAGGAAACTTTTTTGTTGATTGAGGCCATATTGGGGTGAAAGCTATATCTCATTGGGATATTTGATAGGTCAAACCTTCACAGCTAAAGCTAGATCAGTTTAAAGATCTTGTAGGTCTTTTCTTTAGTCTAGTTTTAAAGTCAAAATCAGACTAAAGAAAAGACCTACAAGATCACAGTAGGCTCAACTGTAGAAAGCCTACATCAATCAGTTCCTGGGTCACTCTGAGGGGTGAAATCTGTTTAGATCAAGAGACAGACCCAGAGATTAAGAAGATTCTAAACCTATAAGGGGCCAGTATGTTGGCTCATGCCTGTAATCCCAGCACTTTGGGAGGCCGAGGCAGGCCAATCACTTGAGGTCAGGAGTTCGAGGCCAGCCTGGCCAACATGGTGAAACCCCATCTCTACTAAAAATACAAAAACAAAAAAAAAGTAGCCAGTGTCATGGCACATACCTGTAATCTCAGCTACTCAGGAGGCTGAGGCATGAGAATTACTTGAACCTGGGAGGTGGAGGTTGCAGTGAGCCAAGATTGCACCACTGCACTCCAGCCCCAGTGACAGAACGAGACTCTGTCTCAAAAACAAACAAACAAACAAACAAACAACAAAAAAAAACCTATAAGGGACTTTGGAATCATTATAATTTATCTAGAGCCTTTCAGGGTAGAAACAAAATGAAACCACACATTTCGATGGTATTTGAAAGGTGAATGTCTCAGAACCAGCTTTAACATACATCTATATCCTAGTGTGGTGCTAACTTCCTAGGATTCCACCTAACTAGTTTTATATAGGAGTGGACTAGTTAACATTTGAGAAAATCCTGTAACACTGATTCCTCTCAGCATTTGCTAAGGTAACCTAAACACCTGGTATAAAGTCTAGCATGAATCCAGGCCAGTTAACACCCCTGCCTTACAGGTGTGTGCCCTTATACAGAAAACCAGGTCTTTGAAGAGCTCTGTTTAACTCATAGTCAGCATGCATCCAATAAATTTTGACAACTACTGAGTGAGTAACATCTGAGAGTCTCAACTTTAGACAAAGTTTCATAAAATGAATACAGTTTATTCATCTTGATAAAGTCCTAAAAGGAAACTGAATCCACAGAAAACTCAATTTATCTACAGTCATACTTTCCTCTATCATTTCCCTGAAGAAAATTAAATTTAATTAGACACATGTAAATATTAAATTACTGGAGTTCCAGATCTTGTGGTGGCATAATCCATATAAACAACTATGATCCTTGGCTTTCCAAATGTCCAAAGAGGTATACATGGGAGCTTACCACTTCAAAACAAGTAGCAAGCTTTAGCAAAACTTTTGCATAATTATGAAGTCGTCTGATTGGCAAGAAAAACAAAGTATTCAGTGTTTCCATCAACTGAGTGTTTTCATCATTCACTTCTGATAAATCTTGCAACAGCTCTTGGTTTTTATTTAGGAAATCACTAGAGGTAGAGGAAAACAAAATTAGTTAATCCTTTTTGAATTGGTAATATGCATGATATTAAATAAAACATTTCACTAGAAAGTACCTTTCAGAATGCACATTTTTTAGCTGCTATGAAAGTAGAAATACAATGAAATAAGCCAGATATAATTAAAAGAATTTCCCTATCTATAAGATAGGATTTTTTAAGTATAAAAAGTAGCAAATGGTAGCAATACAAATGGTTAATCACAGGTTTGTGCCTATGTTCCAGGAAATGAATCATGCATCCCACAATTTAAGGTGAATAATCAGAGACCAGCTGACACCATTACCTGTTAATTTCAAAGCCAAAAGTCACAGCAATAAATGGCAAGACTAATTGCTCTAGGCAGCTGTGCTAAATAGAGACACTGGAAGAAAAGCGAAGCTCCTTGCTCCAACAGAATTAGTGTGGATATTAAAACACTTCTAATTTCTTCTTTTTTCCTTCAATTATGAGTTTATTATAGGAAAGTAATAAAAAGCTGAAAGAACTAGTATTACAGTTAACAAGAAACAATAAAGATGATTATATGTGACGATTTCAATGCTGAGATCTTCAAAAGCATTTCAAACTGAAGCCAAAAATTAGTTTTTAATATTCAGTTTTTTATAAATTCATCGTTAAAATTTTATTCCAAATTTTAATACTGATCAATAACCCATTAACGCTTAGCTCACCAAACCAAAATACTTAATGGTAAAGCAGTAAGAGTTGGTGAGCTGGGTGCAGTGGTTCATACCTGTAATCCCAGCACTTTGGGATGCCAAGGTGGGTGGATAGCTTGAGCCCAGGAGTTTGAGACCAGCCTGAGCAACATAACGAACCCCTGTCTCTACAAAAAATACAAAAATTAGCCAGGCATGGAAGTGTGCACCTGTAGTCCCAGCTACTCAGGCGGCTGAGGCAGGAGGATCATTTGAGCACAGGAAGTTGAGGCTGTAGTGAGCCGTGGTTGTGCCACTGCACACCAGCCTGGGTGACCAGCTTGTCTCAACAACAACAACAAAAAAAAAGATCTTAGATAGAGTGCCCAGATTTTATTTACGTTTGGCTTGTGCTGATGTTCTTACTTTGTTCTCCGTGTTCTACTGCAGAGACCAGCTGAGGACTTATTTAATTCTATACAAGTGTTCTGCTTTGACCTGCTCCTGAGAGGCGGAGGTAAGATATAGTGAACACAAACTCCCTTGGACCGTATTTCTCTTCAATACCCAGTACCCAGTCTACAGCAGACCAGAAATGTTCCAACTCTTGTGACCTCCACTACTTTCCAGGACTCACTCATGTCCTTACCTACAGTCTTCCCCGAAAGAGGACAAGCTACACTCCTAAGAAATCTGAACCAGAAATCATCTCTGATCAGCTTATCTTTTCTAGGGAGTTTTTAATCTAATGGTGGCAATATTACTTTTTCCTTATATGGCAAGGTCTATACTTTTTACTCAGATTTTTAAAATAAAAATATTAAAGGTAGAAACAACCTAAGTGTCCATCAGCAGATGAACTGATTGATAAAATGTAGTAGTGTGTACATATAAGAGAATATTATTCAGCCATAAAACAGAATGAAATTTTGACGTATGCTACAACATGAATGAACCTTAAAAATACTATGCTTAAAGAAATAAGCCAGACACAGAAGGGCAAATAAATACATGATTCGACTCATATAAGGTACCTAGACTAGGCAAACTCATACAGAGAGGAAGTAGAATAGAGGTTACCAGAGCCAGGTAGACAGGGGGAGACAGTATGGGAGGAGTTATTATTTAACATGCACTCAGTTTTTCTTGGGGATAATGAAAAAATAGTGATGGCTATACAATACTGTGAATGTATTTGATGCCCCTCAATTGTACACATATTAGTGTACAATTAAGATTAAAATAAATATGACATTACATGTATTTTATCACAGTTAAGAAAAAAAACTTGCATAATAATCAAACCACCAGGCAAGCCTGATGTGAGCAGCTGAGTGATAAATTAGATGAATGATAAGTGCTTGCACATCATCATCCAAGATCCACTAACAGCCATGTGGGCACCCTAGCTGTGCTCTAGACATTCTCAAACTCTCCTCTGAAAATGAAATCTTTAAGGTAATTTTAACTATTGACTTTGTAAATAGAAATGGGAAAAAGTTGTCAGTGCTGCCTTTAACTATGTAAAACCCAGGCTCTGGGCATGGTGCTGTGCAAAAGGCAAGAGGCTTTCAACTTATGTCATCTCATTTTCCTGTTCTAACAAGGTCAGTTCTTCGGTACTGTGAATCTGACTCAGAAATACTAGAGGAAGGTCAACAACAGCAGAATAAGGAACCAGGGTCAGTAATTGCTGTAGCCCTTCAGGAAGCCCAGAAGCTTTCCATTTAAATTGTCACAAGTCTTCATCTATCTTTTGCATCTTCCTGTAATTAAACTTGTTTTTCTTTAAGCATTACTATTTGAAAAATAACTATTGCATTTTCTCTCTGCTCCATTTAATTATAGGTTTGGGTACAACCCCATTTTCTCCTATTTTCTTTGGCTATGATTCAGCATTTCACTAACATTATAGGTTAACTAAGCTATTTTAGTCATTATAATAATGAGATTTAAAATAATAAATATAAAATCAGTAATTACAAATCTAAACTTGTCAAAACCAGAAGTTCTCAAATGTAAACAACAACAATAACAACAAACAATAAGTCCATCCATTTGCTCCTTATAAGAAATATACTAAAACAATGTAGACAGGTTGAAAGTAAAAGAATGGAAAATGGTGATATATTAAGATCAAGAATTTTAAAGTTACTACACAAGGTTAAAGACATATTCTTGAACCTGTCATTTTAAAAAATAAAGGCCAAACTCCTATATTTTGGAAATCAACAAGCGTGTGAGTCCAAGGATTCATAATGGAAGTTAGAAAAATACATCCAAAAATATTTAGAACTGAATGACTATAAAAACAAAACGTATCAAGACTTCTAAGATTCAGCTAAAGCAACAATTAGAGGGAAATTTGTAGCCTTAGATGGCTACATTAGAAAAATTTTAAATTTGAAAAATGAATGAACCAAGTGCTAAACTCGAAGTTGTAAGAAGTTAACAGGTGAACAAAAAGAAAGAAGGAAATAAAAAACAGAAATTAATGAAATTTTTTAAAAGGGAAAGAAATGATTCCCTAATTTTTGAAAAAATTAATTAAAAAAGTAGTAAACTGCTGACAAGACTGATAAAGATAAAAAAGATAAAAGGCCCAAAAATCATAAGAATGAAAAATAGGGGGTACAACTACAGTTATTCTGGTGTAATCATCTTAAGACTATGATAGGAACATTATGCCAATAAACTTTAAAACACGGGTGCAATGAACAATTTTCCAGAGAAATATAAATAACAAAAGCCATAAAAAGAAATAAAGACCTGAAAATACCTATTCATTAAATCAGTAAAAACTCCCTACAGCAAATGTCCCCATGAAGCCCAGATTATTTTTACAGATGAATTTTACTAAATCTTCAAAGTACAAATAATTCCTACTTCATATAAACTACAAACTTCCAGGAAACAGAAAAGGAGAAAAAGCTCCTCCATATCTGCGAGTTCCAAATCTGTGGATTCAACAACTTCAGACCAAAAATATTTCATAAAGAAATTATGTCTCTACCACTTTTTTGTCATTAATTCCTAAACAATACCATATAACAACAATTTATATAGCATTTATATTTTATTAGATGTTATAAGTAATCTAGAGATGATTTAACATATATGAAAGGATGTGCACAGGTTACATGCAAATACTAAGCCCTTTTATATCAGGGACTCGAACATCCTTGAATTTTGGTTTCCTTTGGGAGGTCCTGGACTCAATCCCTCATGGGTACTAAGAGACAACTGTATAAGCAAATTTATTTCAGTAATGTATTAAAAAATTAATACATAGATTACTGAATTTTGGAATTTGGAAACGCAAAGATATTTAACATTATAAAAATCGCTTCCTCTACAACTTTTAGAAATAGGGGCTTTTTAACCCTATAAATTGTATCTACCAAAAACCTAAAGTAATCATTTTTAATAGTGAAATATTAAAAGTATTCCCATTAAAACTAGAAATGAGATGAGATGGTTAGCATTCCTTCTATCAGGATAAAAGATCAAAAGCAAACACGGGGCTGGGCGTGGTGGCTCACACCTGTAAGCCCGGTACTTTTGGAGGCCAAGATGGGTGAATCACTTGAGGTCAGGAGTTCGAGACCAGTTTGGCCAACATGGTGAAACTCCGTCTCTACTAAAAAAGCAAACATTAGCCAGGTATGGTGGTAAGCACCTGTAGTCCTATCTACTCAGGAGGCAGGAGAATTGCTTGAACCCGGGAGGCAGATGTTGCAGTGAGCCAAGATTGTGCCACTGCACTCCAGCCTGGATGACAGAGCGAGACCCTGTCTCAAAAAAAAAAAAAAAAAGCAAACATGGTAAAACATTAACATCTGCTAAATCTGGGTGGTGAGTACATATTTAAAGTATTTTCTATTAAAATACAGAATTTTTGGCCTGGCACAGTGGTGCATGCCTGTAATTCCAGCACTTTGGGAGGCCGAGACAGGAGAACCACTTGAGCTCAGGAGTTCCTAACCAGCCTGGGTAACACAGTGAGACCCTATCTCTTCTATTTTAAAAAGAAAAAAAAAGTTAAATACAGATTTTTTTAAAACCTTGGCTTTGTTGCTGGGTCAACACTTGTTGAGAAACTATCCGTTTGGGATTATTGCCTTGTGTAAGGAGCTTTCACATTATTTACCCAGAAGCTAAATGCAAATACTTTCTATCTGCGCAAACACTTTTTTCTGTGTATCACCACATACATTATTTGTTCCTCTCCAGTGAAAGAGAACATTATCATTTTTCAGATGAGAAAACACTAGGCCTACTGAAGTAAAGAGAGCTGTCCAAAGTCTCAGGGATAGCACGGAAGGACCCAGAACCTGAGCCTATTCATTCAGTGCTTTTTCAATGGCATACTACTTACAATGACAACCAGCGGTTAATAGTACCTGTCCTTTGTAAGACTTACTCCAAGTTTATATTTTGATTTGTTAGGTAAAATGATGAAGTCAAAGCTTTCCCTGGGCACTTGAAAACACAGAGCACTATAAAACATGATCTTTGGTTGAGAGAACAACTGGAAGGTGTGGGTTTGCTTACATGGCAGGCTTAGCAAGAAGCTGGAATCCTCCCATAACCAGGAAATTTGTAATAGATGTGCAATACCTTGAGCAGAAAAGAAAACACATGTACGTTAGCTGAAATGTAAATTAGTTCTTCAGTTTCCAAACACATACCTGGAATAGATAATTCTTGATTATTTCACCAACGAATTTCAGAAGTTTTGTGATGTCAACATTTGTGAAGGGCAGGTTGTGTAATAATTATAATAATGGAGGTAAAGGGAGGGGTAGGGGAATTCCAGCTTAGTAAAGATGGTAATATAAGGCTGGTCACATTGGCTCACACCTGTAATCCCAGCACTTTGGGAGGCTAAGGCGGGAGGATCGCTTGAGCCTAGGAGTTTGAGATCAGCCTGGGCAGCATGGGGAAACCTGACTCTACAAAAAAATAGAAAAATTAGTTAGGCATGGTGGCACATGCCTGTAGTCTCAACTACTTGAGAGGCTGAGGTGGGAGGATCCATTGAGCCTGGGAGGTTGAGGCTGCAGTGAGCTGTGATTCCAACATTGCACAGCCTGGGTGACAGGGTAAGACTCTGTCTCCAAAAAAAAAAAAAAAAAAAAAAGATGGTAATAGAAAAGGAAATTTTAAAAACACCTAAAGCTATGCAGAAAATGCAGTAATTTACTTGGTATCTACCAAGCAATATCTATTATGTGGTAACTTAATTAACATACTTGAGAAAACATAATTAAAATAGTTGAATTTTGAATGAAAATTTTCTCTAATCTTCACTTCAGGTTTCCCAATTAAGAAATGACAGTGAAGGCCGGGGGCGGTGTCTCACTCCTGTAATCTCAGCACTGTGGGAGGCCGAGGCAGGTGAATTACCTGAGGTCGGGAGTTTGAGACCAGCCTGGCCAACATGGTGAAACCCTGTCTCTACTAAAACTACAAAAAGTAGCTGGGCGCGGTGGCGGGCGCCTGTAATCCCTGCTACTTGGGAGGCTGAGGCAGGAGAATCACTTGAACCTGGGAGGCGGAGGTTGTGGTGAGCCAAGACCGTGCCATTGCACTCCAGCCTGGGCAACAAGAGTGAAACTCCAGCTCAAAAAAAAAAGAAAAAAGAAAGAAAGAAATGACATTGAAGGTAAGAAAATATGTTAAAAGTGGTTGAGTCAGTGTTAGAGAATGTTGATTAAATATTGATATACTGCTAAAGAACAAGTCTAGTTATACTGCTTTGAGCCTTGTACATTTCTTGTACACACCTGGGCTGGCAAAGGGAATCAACTGACTTTGAGGAAGAAGGGAAACTCCTACTAAAATTAGCCTACAGTACTGTACAATTAAATATGGTTATAATGGTTAATTTTATGTGATGTGTATTTTATCACAATTAAAAATAATTTTGGCCAGGCACAGTGGCTCACACTTGCAATCCTAGCATTTTGGGAGGCTAAGGCAGGAGGATAACTTACACCCAGGAGTTTGAGACCAGCTTGGGCAACATAGTGAGACCCCTGTCTCTACAAAAAATAAAAAAATTTAGCTGGACATGCTGGCATGCACCTGTAGTCCCAGCTTCTTGGGAGGCTGAGGTGGGAGAATCACTTGAGCCTGGGAGGTCAAGGCTGCAGTGAGCTGTAATGGTGCCACTGCACTCCAGGCTTTAATAACTTTATAAAATTATTATAAAAATAATTTTAAAGATTCATACGTAAACCCAAATATTTTACTTGCCCCATCTATAGGAATAAAACGTTATATTAAAAAAAAGCCCAAAATATCTAAACAAAAGCATTTTTAAGCATAAGGCCTAAAGTACCAGAGAAGAAAAAGAAGTGAAGTAGAAGTATTATGAGATGAATTCCAGTCAAAAAATGAAAATTATACCAGTAAAAGCTGGAATCACAAAAACAACAAAATCTAGTTTTAGAAAAGAAAACTAGTAGTAAGTTCTATTGTTTTTATTTTTCATTTCTGAAAGATGATGTGTTAAAAGACTCAAACCAGGATATTTCCTCTTAGACAGCAGCTTCAAATATTTTCAATTTTGCTTAGAATTAAAATAGCATCCAACTATCTGCACATATTACATAGGTTGGAAAGGAAATACACTAAGAAGATAAACAGTGGTTAGTTCTGGTGGTAGGATTATGGGTGATACTTGATTATCTTTATTTGTGCAGTTTTCAGTAATAGACATGTTATTTACGTTATAAATAATCAAAACACCAACAAAACATGAACTCCGTGAGGGCTGGTGCTTTTCGCAGGCCCCATGCTGTGCTGCTGTGGGCTTGGAGCTCCCCGCAAATGCCTGGCACTGAGTGGGCACTCAGTGTTTGCTGGATGGTTGAGGTGTGATTGAATAGAGAACAAAACCTATACATACTTCAGATCAAAGCATAACCTAACATACATTAAAATAACACTTAAATTATGCCTCACATCATCATATCAAAATACAAGTTAAGAAAAGGTAAGAAACATTTTAAGTTACATTTTCAAGTACACTTGGGATATTTTACTTGAAAAACATGCAAAGAACCTTGAATAACTATTCTAGGTTTTATTAAGAAAAAACATCTTCGAGTTACAAATAGTTGGGTCTTTTAAAACTTCCATTTACACAAAAGTAAAAAGCAGACATCAGAACAGCTCCATACTTATAGTCAGCAGTTGGTCTTAAAATAATTTGTTTAGTTACTAATTGCTTCAAGTTTTAGTACAATTTAGTTAAGTAAACAAAATTGTTTCCTAAAGAACCACTTATAATAGTACATTTTATGTAAATTATGCTATCACTCTGCTAGAATATAGAAGAAAACATGATAATTCATTTTTTAAACCTTTTTTTTCACTTAGAGAAGACTAAATTTTAGCAATCCAGAACTATAGTTGGCTTAAGATTAAAATAACTGCTTTGCAATTTCTATTACCTTATATCACTCTCCCTAATCTAGTCTCTTCTGATTAAGGAGCTGTTCTCCTTGGTAGAATAACCCTGCAGATATTGAACATGACACGGGACTGGATACTTGCTCTGTATAACTATCCAAGAAGAGACTTGCATGCTTCAGGATGACCAAACTCCTGGCTTCCTTTACCCCATGAAGGAAGCTGCTCAGTGAGGCTCCATGCTGACCAATGAGGTAACACAGCTTGCTGAATCGGCTAGCCACCTCCTGCAACAGCTGGACTGTAGTTGTAGTGCCCAAATTTTCTATAACAAAATAATGATGATGATGACAACAACATAAACTGAAAACCGATCACTTTATTACGATCATATGATTATGATTATGAATTCCTCTAAGACTACTTAACCTGTTGCCATGTGCTCTCAACTAAGGAACCCAAATGATTACAGTATTAAAGCAACCTCAAAGATCACAGTATCCAGTACTTTGAGGAACTTGTTAAAAACACATTCACAGGAACCTTATAGATTCCAGGATGGCTTTTTCTGTTAAAAAAGACTCTCCAGGTGATTTTAAAGATGAGCCAAATTTGAGAACCATAGAGCTAATGCAACTCTCTGGTCATTTTGAAGATAAGTAATCTGAAGCCAAGAGAAGGGAAGTCAATTATCTAATTTAAGTCACTGATTAATGACAGTCAGGAATTAAACTCACTTGGGGTGTTATATCTTTGTTAAGATTTCCAGCTTTTTTGTTCTGACTTCTGCTCCACTTGCCTCTTTGACAAGCCCAACCGATCAGTGCAGAAAAGGCAATCCAAACATTGGACTGCCGAGGATGCTCTGAATTTCAGAGAGGGCACCAGGATATTATTTGCTTTTTGCCTGTCTAAAAGTCTTCATTTCTAGCACTTCCTTCCAAGCAATTAGGAAACTAGACTGGGAAGACCAACAAAGAAATCAGCAACCAGGACAGGAGAAAGGCAGATTTAACTTTCCTTTCAGAGCAATCCAGGAAGCTTCCAGCTTAGATTGCTTCCTTTTCCTTGGCAAAGTCCTGGAGTGTTCAGCCTACCTAGAGGAGGGGAATTTATAGAACAGAGACTCCACAACACTTAAAAGGCAGAAGGTAATAAAAACAAAAACACAAATGCAGACAGTCCTCAGCTTACAAAGGGATTATATTCACAAAGACTGTAAATTAGTTGTTTGAAAAGATGTTTTTCCACTAGAAACAATGGGCAGGCCGGGCACGGTGGCTCACACCTGTAATCCCAGCACTTTGGGAGGCCAATGCAGGCAGATCACTTGAGGCCAGGAGTTCAAGACCAGCCTGGGAAACAGGGCAAAACCCCGTCTCTACTAAAAATACAAAAATTAGCAAGTGTGGTGGTGCACACCTGTAGTCCCAGCTACTCAGGTGGCTGAGGCACAAGAATCGCTTGAACCCAAGAGGCGAAGGTTGCAGTGAGCCGAGATTATGCCACTGCACTCCAGCCTGGGTGACAGAGCAAGACTCTTCTCAAAAAAAAAAAAAGAAAGAAAAGAAAAGAAACAATGGGCTGACCTGCACAAGAAAGACAATGTCCTCAACGTGGCAAAACTGATGTATTGAGTATTAGCCTGAATTCTGGATCAACACAGCGGGCAAGGAGTGCAGGAGAAAGAGAAAGAAAACTTCCTCTCTGTTTTCTGACTGTAGGGCCAAGCCCAGAAAAAAAAATTTGAAATAGGAAAAGTTTATCTGCAACAGTTCCCTCAACTTCCATTCTGCATTCCTTTCTATTCTCCCAGAAACCCCAAGTACCCAGTATATCTGGACAGGGGCATCCCACCTAGTACTACTGTAACCCATTCCCTCTGTATTACCCCCTCATTTCCAATCTCTTTGTAGCTGGGCATAGCTAAGAAAAAGAATCAGATTTAATCAACTCATGCTGAGGGATAAGATCTTTTTTCCCCCCGAGATGGAGTGTTGCTCTGTCACCCACGCTGGATGGCAGTGGTACGATTTCGGCTCACTGCAACCTCCACCTTCTGGGTTCAAGCAATTCTCCTACCTCAGCCTCCTGAGTAGCTGGGATTACAGGCGCCCGCCACTGTGCCTGGCTAATTTTTGAATTTTTAGTAGAGATGGGGTTTCACCATGTTGGCCAGGCTGGTCTCAAACTCCTGACCTTGTGATCTGCCCTCCTCAGCCTCCCAGAGTGCTGGAATTACAGGTGTGAGCCACCATGCCCAGCTGGATAAGATCTTTAACACTCTTATAGTTATCCACAATTTTAAGAGACTACTTGTAAATCCAAATAAATCTCTACTTGATATAATTCTAAGAACTATAATGAGGAAAACAAAAAGTTCAGATAGTATACTGGAAGATCTCTTAGGACCAGCAGGGCCAGAAGTGTTGTTTGGAAGTCTAACTTTATGTAGGGTCAACTTTCCCAAAGTTGTTTTTGCTCCTCTGCCATTTTTCTACTTCTGCAGTAGAAAAAGTTCCAGTTTTCTACTTCTGCAAGCCAAGGGAGCTCTGGGAGTGGCAGGACAGGGCAGGGGCAGTGAGGCTATTGACAAATTGGAAACAGTTTATAAATTGTTGACTACCTGTGTACACACACACACACAAAGACAGTGGATAGAAAGAAGTAAACCATAAACTAACAGGTTTTCATTATTTGTGATATAGGAAGAAGAGATAAAGACCTGATGATTTAGTGGTGGGAGAGAGGGGGTTGCAACTTACCTAAACTGAGAAGAGGCCTGAGAATCTGAGATTTGATATCACTTAGTTTTGAATAGAATCGTCTTTCTGTAGTAGCTAACTCGTGGAGACTGGCAATATACCCCATAATGTTTTTATCCACCAAGGCTAGATAGCTATCTTTTCCTGCTGTCACTCTGCTTATATATCCAAGCTGAAACAGAAGAAAATAAAAGGATTAAATATAACATATAATTATGTTAGTAATTTGGTATACCGAAGCTGGCTTATATCAGCTGACAAGAGCTAACTTAAATATTCAGAAAATTTGCAAGCAAGTAATTAAACCATTGGCAGCTTGAAAATTGGCCACAGTGAAAATTTGCAAGCACTACAGACTAGGGTTTTTTTTGGCCGGGTGGGGGGTGGGGGGTTGCTTCTTTTTTTTTAGAGCTGGTTCATCAGTGCATCATTGTTATATATGCATATCTGGATCTATACATAACTATATACACCTACTTTCAATTATCTCCAAGATACCTTTCATTTCACATTACAAGTGTTTGGAAACAGACACCCTGGATATATAAAGATCCAAATAATAGGGATATATGTCTCAGGACCCCTTTCTGAGTAAAATAAGATTAACGAGATCAGGGAGAATCTCTATGCTATATATTAAAATATCTAGGATTCAAAAATTAACCTGCCTTTTGTACAATGAAACGAGATTTTCTTAAAAAGGGACTTTTTGTCATTTACCCAAGATACCACTGTATAAAAAACATTCCATGTCTTTATTCACATATCCCATTAAATCAGGCAGGCAAGTTACAGACCCAATGCACTATTAACATCCCATGGTAACCAAAGACACACACGAGAGCTCTTCATTCCTTTCATCTGCCCATTTGATCCTTTATCTAGACTGTGAAATCATTCATGGGGAATGTAACACCAGGACCAGCAACTACAGACACATCTTGGCCAATGTTGCCTTTAATTTTTAAATATTTTTTTGTTTTGGTAGAGACAGGGTCTTGCTATGTTGCCCAGGCTGGTCTTGAACTCCTGGCCTCAAGTGATCCTGCAGTCTCAGCCTCCCAAAGTTCTGTAATTATAGGGATGAGCCATTGTACTCAGTCCCAGTGTTACCTTTAGCAAGAAAGATCTCGTTCCCACGCATTTGTAACTTACTAGCTAGAAAAACAAACACAAAGACTAAAAAAAAAAATAAAATAAAAAAGTCAATATGCTATTTTACTCAATAAAAATAAGAAACCCTAGAATATACTAGTTTTGGGGGTTAATTTCCCTGCAACATGTCACTTTATGGGGAAAAGGAAAGCTAGAAATAAGCCAATGGTTTCAGTTTATGAAAAAGAAGAAAGGAAAACAGAGTAGGAAAGCAGATCAAATGAAAAGGGGATAAACAGTAGGTAAACAGTAGGAAATAAAATTAAGGCCAAGCAAGGTGGCTCAGGCCTGTAATCCCAGCACTTCCGGAGGCTGAGGCAGGCAGATCACTTGAGGTCAGGAGTTCAAGACCAGCCTGGGCAACATGGTGAGACGCTATCTCTACTAAAAATACAAAAATTAGCTGGGCGTGGTGGTGGGCGCCTGTAATCTCAGCTACTTGGGAGGCTGAGGCAGGAGAATTACTTGAACCCAGGAGGCAGAGGTTGCAATGGGCCAATTCTGCGTCACTGCACTCCAGCCTGGGCAACAGAGCAAGACTCGGTCTCAAAAAATAAATTAAATTAGAAGCAGAGAAGTGAAGCAGGGGAAAACAGAACACTGCTGGTTGTCTGTCAGGTCTCTCACGGTCTGCCATGAGCCTATCTCAGGCTCTTGCATTGTTACTTCCCACTTACAGTTAGAAATTCAACTACTCTATTTCTGTTCTGATTCACCTCGAGGGTTCTATGGCTGCAGTCAGGAAACTTCACAGTAAAATGTACTTTCCAATATTCCTACATGAGGGTGTTAATTCAACAAATGTTTATAAAGTATGTACTATGAGGCTACAGCAGTGAATGAGATAGCCTAAAATCCCTACCCTTCTGAATCTTACATTACAGTAAGGAGGACAGACAATAGACAAAATAATTAATTATATAGTGTGTTCGATGGTGATAGGCCCTCAGGAGAGAAAAGATAAGGAATGAAGGGGGATTAAAAGGAGTTTGCAATTTTAAATAAGGTAGTTAGAGATGCTTACTAATAATTACGCATACATACAAATAAAAACAAAAAAGACTTCTCATGTGTTACTGAATGTGGGCCTTAGGATCCAATTCCTGTTCACCTTACTACAGGAGAGAAGTACTGGAGTCTTAGAACCACTGTGATTCTCTGGAAGGTTGTCACCTTCTGTAGGGTCCTGTCGGCCACTGTAATATAACCCAGGCTGGAAGTCTTCTGTATCCACTAAAAACAGGGAATAATCCTGGCCTGCGGCTACGCTCCAGACTCCATTTTCACTGCTTATCTGCAATGACAGAAAGACAGTGTCTGTCTAAGATAAAGGCAATCAGAGAGAACTTCAGATCCACAGAAACTGAAACGTTAGGTTGCTTAAATAAGCATGGTGCAAAGTCAGTCATATCTGAGAGCAAACTCACCCAGCAATTTGCCCAATCAAATGCAGAGCAGCAGGTGCAGGAGTAAGACGGAATCCCTTGTTCAGGTTTTAAATTTAGAACTGTTTTTATAAAAATCTGAAAAATTGGAATTTAAAAAGGAAAAACCACTCATCTAATTTTTTATTGTTACTTTTGGAAGTCTGCACAGACTGTATTATAATGAAGAGACCCAGAAACTTCCAGAGCCCTACTCTAGAAGTGACAATTAGGACATAACTTTGTCTTTCCACATTTGGCTGTGTGCACAAAAATTGAGGTAAAAGAAAATCTAATAAGGGTAAATTCTATTCTGGCCAACTACACTCTTGGGAGAAAATTCAGTTTTCCCACTTGGAACTCTACTGGTCCTATGTGACTTTACTGTGCCTACTCCCAGGATGTTAAAACAGGCAGAGCCCCTGACAAGCCCATCTACAGGGATACCTTAGACCAGTGGTTCTGAGTGGTCTTTGCAGCAGCAGCAGCAGCCATCACCTGGGAACATGTTAGAAACACAAATTCCCAGGCCCCAGAGCTACTGGGGGAAGGGGAATGGGGAATAGAGTCCAGCACTCTGTTTTTTTGTTTTTGTTTTTTTGAAATGGAGTCTCGCTCTTTTGCCCAAGCTGGAGTACAGTGGTGTGATCTCAGCTCACTGCAAGCTCTGCCTCCTGGGTTCACGCCATTCTCCTGCCTCAGCCTCCTGAGTAGCTGGGACTACAGGTGCCCACCACCACGCCCGGCTAATATTTGTATTTTTAGTAGAGACAGGGTTTCACTGTATTAGCCAGGATGGTCTCGATCTCCTGACCTCCTGATCCGCCTGGCTCGGCCTCCCAAGGTGCTGGGATTACAGGCGTGAGCCATCGCGCCCAGCCCAGCACTCTGTTTTAACAAGCACTCCACAGGTGATTCTGATGTATGCAAAAGTTTGAGAACCACTGCCTTTAAATCAATAATTTTTAAACCTTGGGATTCCACAAAGTGATTCAGTAGCCACCACGCAAAGGCAGGTGCCAGGGCTCCAGGCCCCTACTCCATCCTTAACCAAAGTAGTTCCTTATTTGTGGGCTTTATGTATGGGATTCCACATAAGATTTCATTTGGAGAAAGTGCGTTACTGCAAAAACTACTGCCCCTGGTATTGATGGAACGTACCTCAAAATAATAAGAGCTATTTATGACAAACCCACAGCCAATATCATACTGAATGGGCAAAAACTGGAAAAGGAATCCCTTTGACTGCCTCAAGCAGCGGATGCCTTCTCACCTCCTTTTCAACGTGTGGAGTCATGGCTAGGGCAATCAGGCAGGACGAAAGAATCAAGGGTTCTCAGATTAGAAAGAGAGTGCAACTTGTCTCTCTCTTGAGATGACATTGATTGATATATTGAAACCATTGTCTCAGGAAAATCTCCTTAAGCTGGGGGTCGTAAGCCTCAGAAGTTCAGGTACAAAATTATGGTGCAAAATCCGCAAGCATTCTTATACCCCAGTAACGCAAAACAAGAGAGCAAAATATGAATGATTCCACTCAGATACACCACGCTGTTCATTCATGATTTGCTCTCCTTGTTTGTCTCGTTTGGTGTATAGGAATGCCTTGTGGGATTTTTGACATAATTTTGTTATCCCTGACTTGCTGCGTTGTTTCCAGCTTAAAGAGTTGGCTGCATCAATGAGCGTTTTTCAATCTGGATCATATCAGTACATTTTCAATCTCATTTTGCTCTACCTCTAACCGACAGAACTACATTGCTTCAAGATGATCCATGTGTAGGAAATCCAATTACAAGGGATTAAAGGAACCTCTTCAAGGGACCGAGAACTACAAAACACTGCTCAGTGAATAAAAAGGGCCACAAACAATGGAAACATACATGTCATGGCCTGGAGATCAATATGTAATGGCATACTCCCAAAGGTTATTTATAGGACCTTCCAAATGCTCCGCCCCCCTCAAGCTACCATGATTTCTTACGAGAATTGGGACAAACTGCTTTAAAGTTCATATGGACGCAAACAGAGCCTGCATTCTGCCAACGACCGTCCTAGTCAAAAGAACAAGCTGGAGCATCACGCTCTGACTTCAAACTTCTTACAGGCTACGTAAAAACAACGAGCCATGGTCTGTACCACAGAGATATATAGACCAATGGAACAGAACCGCACAGTCCTCAGAATTATACCCACATCTCGCATCTGATCTGGGCAACGGCAACCTGAGGAACAAAGAAGGATGGGGAAGGTCCCTTTTACAGGTAATGGTGCTTGGGAATTGGGGTAGGCATAAGTAGAAAAGCTGACTGGATCCCGTTTCCTACTCCTTATACAAAAATTAATTCGAGGTGGATTAGAGACTTAATGTTGACCTAATACCCATAAAAACCTGTAGAAGAAAGTCTAGGTGTAGTACCTTTCGAGGAGATAGGCATGGGACAGACTTCATGTCTTCAAAAACAAGCAACGGGCAGAAAGCCAAATTGACAAAACAATGGGTCTTTAACTAGAAAGCTGCCTGCACAGAAAAGAACTCCATCGAGTAACGGAAGCCGTAGAATGGAGGAATTTTTGCGATTACTCATGTCTGAAAAGGGTTAATATCGGAACCTACAAAAGACTCACAAATTTACGAGGAAAAACAAACAACCCATGGCAAAAGTGTGGCAAAGGTATGAACCGATATTTCTCAAAGAAGACTGATACTGCAAAGCACAATGAGAAAAATGTTCCTTCTGGCATCAGAGAATGCATTCAAACCACAATGAGTCCATCTCACACAGTTGAATGGTGGATCATTAAAGTCGGAAACAACAGGTTGCTGGACGAGGATGTGAAGACAATAAGGAAACTTTTATCGAGTGTTTGGTGGCGTCTGTAAACGATTACACGCATTATGGGAAAACAGTATGGCGTTCGCGCCTCAGCGATCTGACTTATGGATGTACCATATGACCAGCATCCTTGGGTGTGGTTATATCCAACGGAATAAATCATGCCTGCCCTTAACAGGACACATCGGCCCGTAAGCGTCTTTTTTGCCGGGCACCTGATTCCAATAGCAAAGACTTAGAATCAACCAAATGGAGTTCCGTGCAGGATGGATAATGAAAATGGTGGGACATTATACACCATGGAATCTATGCGCATTAAAATAATAAGGTTATGGTTTGTCTGTGCGTTTGTAAGGGACATGAGATTGCAGCTGGACATATTCTTAGCAACTATCACAAGACCGAACCAAAACCGCATGTTTCATCATAGGTGGGAACCTGACAATGGATCCCTTGGACTCACGGGGAAGGGGCACCATACCCACCGGGGCCTCTCACCGGGGAGGGCGGGAGGGGGGAGGATTGCATGGGAGTTTATACTGATGTAAAATGACGGTTGATGTGCTGACCGATGTGATGGGTGCGCACAGAACATGGGCCAAGCTAGTTACGTATGTACAAACTCTGCACGTTATGCCACATGTACCCCTGACTTAATAGTCCAAAATAATAATAATAATAAAAATAAATTTAAAAATACATAAATAAATAAAATTCATTGAAAAAAAAAAAAAAAAAAAAACGAGTACTCAGCTTGAACCAGAGTATCCTGGATCTAATTTCCAGTTCAGGTAATTAGTAGCTTTATCACTTGAACTTTGATTAACTGGTCTGTGGCCCATTTTCCATTACCTGTAAGAATGGGCATACTTATAGTTTGTATGTGTTTTTGCAAATTGTTAGAAGATTAATAATGTCATAGTTTATAAGAATGATTATATTGCCCTGGACTTATAATAAGTGTTATGAAATGTTTGTTAAGTAAATAAAGAATGTCTAAAAAAAAAAAAAAAAACAAAAAAACTACTGCCCCTAACCTCTGGACGCCAGCTTCAGGCTCCCTAGACTGGACAGTAAAACCACACCCACACTACACCACCACACACACCGCAAACAACCAACACAAACCCCACACACAAGTACACTCTCTAATCTGTTACGATCTTTGGTGTTTGTAGTTTCCAGCCTGACTCCTGGACTGATGAACAATAACTTATCTTACTGCGGGGGATCCTGTGTATCTAGCTAGGCTCTAACATCACATGGTGATTTTAACCTGGGTGCGTGTGACTGTTTTTTCTTCTCTCTGTGTGCGTGTGTGATGTTCATAATGCTGCTTTGGCATGACTTATGCTTTCGGTATCTATCTGGTATCCATTCAGTGTTATAAGGTTGTGTTTATTGCAATGGAGGAGATGGTGTTAATTCAAATCTCACTCTGCCTTCACTTTTAATTCTCACAGATTAATCAGGATGACTTCAAAAGTTTTTCTCAGCGTTCCTCAAATAAAGAAACCAAGCTCATAATGGTGTTGAAGAGTTAAGAAACTAAAATCTTGTAACAAACTATTCTCTTGTCTGACTCTAAAATGTTAAAAAGGAGTTTGATTTTCAGGTCTCCATGCTACATTACAAAGCTTTCCTTAGTATGAATAAGTGCACACTTTAATCAAATAAACAAAAAACAAGGAACAATGATTTGCAATATTTTTGTGATAATGTATCAGAAACTGAATAGCTTACTACTAAGATGTTTTATACTGAAAACATTTCAGATAGGAGCTAGAAGTGATCATTGTTCCCTAATGTTTTATTAAACCTTTTCATCCCAGTAAAATTAAGTTCACCAAAAGGAAAGCCAGCATGTAAAAGTCTTAAATAGTGACAGATGCACAGTGCACACTGCATATATGAATTACTGGAATATATTTTAACTGTCACTTACATTCAAAGCATATTCCTGAAATTGACGTAATTGCCCTTCTTTAATCTCCATCACTCCAGAGGGAGCATGTCTTGGGATAGGGGAGAGATCAGGATCCAACTACATATCTATGACCTCCATATTCCACTCTGTCACATGGCGGGCATCTCTACCAAAAAGCCCTAAAACTCTTGTTTAAGGAACCAATACAACTGATAAGAATTTGGTATTTCCTCAGGGCGATGAGGCGGAAAACAAGGTGGAGAAACACATTACAGAACTGCTTCAAAGAGACTAGAAGCTACCAATCTCTCAATAGCATTACATAAACTAAAACCAATCCATCTAACAGTGAACAAAAAAAATCACCTCTACTTTTAGCTTTACTACAGAAAGTGAAAAGGCTTACCAAAAAAGGTTTTACTACTCTGCATGTTATTTTAAAATGCCCACACAAAATTACACCACCAAATAATGTTATGTAAAAGTCAAACAATGGAGAATTCAGAATAGACATTATCTGGTAACACTGAGAAAACAGCAGAGTCCTAGAAACATGTTTTAAAAGAAAGCACTTTTTCATTTTTTGACTTAAAAAACAAAGGAACTATGAATATTTAATGAACAGTTGAAGCTAAGAAATATAAACACAAAAAAAGCAGACATTTAGCTTGAAAACATGTGGCTTTCTGTTTTTAAAACTTTTCTTAAGAAAACCAAAACAAATTTAGGTTGTACATATGAAATTCCCCTGATTTTTTTAAGTAATAAATAGAGAAATATAAGGTTACATTTAAGAATTGCGGAATAAGCTGCTATCAAGTTCACAAAAGTACCTTTGCAAGACGAGGAACTGTTGTTGGAAAATCGGAATGCCCAAGTTGACCAAAGGTATTGCTACCCCATGAGTAAACCTATCAAAAAAACACAGAAAAGTAGCTAAGAGTTGTGAATCTGATTTTGCACATCAACTCTGAACCTTTATAATAATTAACATATATATACAAATACCAACAATTATACATAAATTACTTATTTAGTCTTTTACTCTTTAACAGATATTGAGGAAATTCATTTTTAAACAAGACCAGAGATAATGGGCAAATAGAGTCTTGCTACATAAGAAGACACAGAGTCCAAAAATTAGCCAGGCGTGATGGTGCATGCCTGTAATCCCAGCTACTTGGGAGGCTGAGGCAGGAGAATTGCTTGAACCAGGCAGGCAGAGGTTGCAGTGAGCCAAGATTGCGCCACTGCATCATTGCATTCCAGCCTAGGCAACATGAGCAAAACTCGGTCTCAAAAAAAAAAAAAAAAAAAGACACAGAGTTGAAGAGTCAATAATAACAATAACTAACACTTTTCAGTGCTTACTAACTGCCAGACATTGTTCTTAACACTTTCTGTATGTTAATCTATGATTCATTCTCACAACAATCCTAACAAAAATAAATAAATAAATAATAAGGAAACCCAGAGAGGTTAATTAATTTACACGTGGTCACAAATTCATATGTAAGAGGCGGGATTTAATCCCAGGAATTATCATATACTGCCTCTTTTAGAGACAGCAATAAAAACGTTAAGTGATATAGAGGAAAAGTAATCATGATTTCCTACCCTGTAGATAAAAGTACTATGGAATGAACAGAAAACCTTTCATACATGAAGAGTTACTGTAAGAGAAACACAAGTACCTGCACGTCACTACAGACAAAAGAAACAAGATTACAATAACTATGTTTAGTTAAAATGTTTATTCTGATTATGAAAGTAATTCATAGTCATTGTACAAGACTGTGACAGTACAAAAATAAAAATAGAAATAAAGTGAAAATCACTGATCAACCACTTGGTGGCACCTACTCTTCTGTACATCAATAAGTATAGATCTGCAACATCATTTTTAATAACTGTCTAGAACTCTACTGTGCATATACTTTAACAAATTACCTATTGAATTAAGTTCTTTCCAATTCCTTTTTTTTTGGGAAACAGTCTCATTCTTGTCATCCAGGCTGGAGTGCAATGGCGCGATCTCAGCTCACTGCAACCTCCACCTCCCAGATTCAAGCAATTCTCCTACCTCAGTATTCCAAGTAGCTAGGATTACAGGCGCCTGTCATCATGCCCAGCTAACTTTTGTATTTTTAGTAGAGATGGGGGTCTCACTATGTTGGCCAGGCTGGTCTTGAACTCCTGACCTCAGGTGATCTGCCCACTTCAATCTCCCAAAGTGCTGGGATTACAGGTGTAAACCACCACACCCAGCCTCCAATTCTTTAATATTAAAAAGGATAGAAAAAATCCTTGAATACATATATCCATGTATCTATTTGCTTAGGATAAATTCCTAGGCAAAGACTATGCCATTCTGATTTGTGATACATATTGACAAACTGTCTTCCAGCAAAGTCCAATTTACATTCCTGCCTGCGCTGCATGCACACTTTCTCCCACATTCTAATAAATGCTCAGCATTAAAGGCACTCCTTAGGTTTGCACACGTTAATCTCATAGGTGAGAAAAACACTGTACTGTTGTTTTTTACTTTAAACATATTTGCTAAATGATCATCTTTTCATTTATTGCTGGCCATTTCTACTTCTTTTATGACTAAAATATAAATATCCTTTTGACAATTTTTATCCTTTGACAATTGTTCCTTTATATATAAGTGTAGCAACACTTTATCACATATGTTGCAGATATTTTTACCCAGTTTGTTACGTATTTTCATTTTGTTTACACTGTTTTCATTGCTGTTCGGGACTGTTGAATTATCATGTTGACAAACATATCTTACTTTCTAATTTCCAGTTTTGATGTTATGTCTTTTTCTATGCCTAAAAGAGTCATCTTAATTTGTACACACACACACACACACACACACACACACTCACAGTTCTAGTTTTTAATGACATCATTAATACACCCAGAATTGGAATATGTATAGCCTTCTTAGTTTTCTCCTACAGATATGAAGTCAGTAAACATTTACTACATTTACCGGATACTCAAGTCTTGTTTTCCCAACTGAACTGAAACCCCCACTTTTATATCTTAAATTCTCATATATACTTGAGATTATTTCTAGCCTATAGGCATATTTCTGTTGCATTGATCTGTTTAATTTTATAATATATAAGGATAAATCTCTCTTCCTTTTTACCTGGCTCATCTGTTTATTCTTCTAAAATAATTTTGGGATTATCTTATCAAATTGTAAATATTATACTGGAATATTTTGGGGACTGTACTGAATTTTCACTGTGCTGATTAAGGATTCAAGAGAAAAATGACATTTTTACAACTGATGCATCTCACCCAAAAATAAAATCTCTCCCTTTACTACTGCTTTTATGACTCTTCAAAAGAGTTCTAAAGTTTGCATCATATGGGTTATACGCATTTTCTACTGATTCCTACTTCCTTAATACTTTTGGTGTAGTTGAGAGCAGAATTTCCTCGAGTTTGTTTTGTTTTATTGTATGTATACAATAAAGCCAGTAATTTTTATTTTGTAACTGACCTACTTCCTAATCTCTCATTTTTAAGTTTTTTGAATGAATCATGTTAAAAACAGTAAATTCTCCTTTTTCTTTCCTAATATTGACATTTATACAGGTTATGTTAGTTTTTTGGCTAGCCTAGTATGTGAAATTTGCAATCAAATCAAATATTAAAAGGTTTAGAATTATTTATTGGCTTCTTAAAAAGATAAAAGAATTGGTGAAGAACCATTATCGAAGTATGAATGTATTTAATAATAACATTGCAGATGAGCAGTCTGAGTTTTAAAAAAAAGAGTAACTTAAAACAACTTATTTTGTGTTTATGTATATGGGTATGGTTTTTAGTAATGCTAGAGGTCACTTTCAGGTCCCACAGTTTTAAAGAAAAATGCCTTTGTTTTCTTAGTATTCTACTATATGCTTTCTTTGTCAAGTAACAAATAAAAATTCACCAATACCCTGGAAAATCTGGGGTTCTCTTTTTAGATGAGAACACATTATAGAAAACTCCTAAATCAGGGAGACCAGTGTTTAAATCCAAGCTCCACTGTTACATATGTGTGACTTTAGACAAGTTACATAATTTCTCTTACTCCACTTCCCTCATCTGTAAAGTGGAAATAATACCATGCAAAATATTGGAAAGCTAAAATGAGATACGGTATCACTGCCTGACATATAGCAGATACTCAACGAACGAGGGTCCAATAACGTCACGTTGGCCTTCCATAAAAATAAAGTAAGTATTTAATAGTTTGCCTCCTACCTGGGATTTTGCAGTAAGTGCAAGAGAATGGTAACCACCTGCCTCCAGATGGATTACTTCTTTGCCATCCAGGCATTTTACGCACAATGGTTGAAGCCTTAAGGAGAAACACACAGGCACACAAAGTCAAAGTATTCTCAGCAAGAATCGTAGCCTTTTATAAAGTACATTCATGTAAAAATAATTTTTTTTTTTTTTGAGATGGAGTCTCGCTCTGTCGCCCAGGCTGGAGCGCAGTGACGCAATCTCTGCTCACTGCAAGCTCCGCCTCCTGGGTTCAGGCCATTCTCCTGCCTCAGTCGCCCAGGTGCCCACCACCATGCCCGGCTAATTTTCTTTTTGTATTTTTAGTAGAGACGGGGTTTCAACGTGTTAGCCAGGATGGTCTTGATCTCCTGACCTCGTGATCTGCCTGCCTCGGCCTCCTAAAGTATTGGGATTACAGGTGTGAGCCACCGTGCCCAGCCAAAAATAAATATTTCTAAAGAAAACATTAAAATAAACATAAGGGATATATGTTCAATCTACTCCTAAGTATCATAAATAAGTTTTGGAAGGTTTTAATCTTTGTCTATCAATCACTAATTAATCCCCATAATTTAGAATCTGTTAAGAATCATAAAACTACAAATGATTCTTTATAGCAGAAAGTATACTTAGAATATAATAAAAAATAACCATAGAAGGAAGGTAATTTTTAAATTAATTCCAGTTGCCTTCACTCTGCTATGAATAGAGGCATTTATATTAACTCACTACTTTAGATAATCATTCCAATTACCCACTTAAAAACTTCTCAATATCTAATTTGTTAATATCATAACAGTTTCTAATAAACAAAATGCCAGTTTTACTCTAATATACATGAACAGACATAGTCTGATGTTTCAATTATAGTTATTTTGGCAGTGGCAGAGAGACGTCTTTCAGGTTAAAAAACAAACAAAAACCTGTTGGCTCTTTTCTTTTCCTATGTGACAGGTGATGACCTCTTTTTTATCAATTAAAAATCTGAGCCATTCCTGTCTTCCAGTGAAATATAATCTTACCCCAACATCCCTTTCTGTACTCCAAGATGAACACACATCGAAGAAGATGTGGAAAAGTGCAGCATGGATACTTAAGTCTTTTACTGCTTTTTTTTTTTTTTCTGAGATAAGAATTTCGTTCTTTTACCCAGGCTGGAGTGAAGTGGTCCAATCTCAGCTTACTGCAACCTCTGCTCTTCCCAGATTCAAGCGATTCTCCTGCCTCAGCCTCCTGAGTAGCTGGGATTATAGGCGCCCGCCACCACACCCAGCTAATTTTTGTATTTTTAGTAGAGACAGGGTTTTGCCATGTTGGCCAGCCTGGTCTCGAGCTCCTGACCTCAGGTGATACACCTGCCGCGGCCTTCCAAAGCACTAAGCACTAGGATTAAAGGTGTGAGCCACCGCGCCCGCCAAGTCCTTTACTGTTAAGAACAAATTCAAGACTAAAGTGACAACTTTTTATCAGAGTTAATGGTGCATAATAATCTGAAGCTAGAAGAGCCCAGATTTCCTCTATGAGGAAAGTGAGATTTAGAGACCTTCCCAGGAGAGAGGTTATTTGTTTAAGCCAACTCCTATCAGTAAAAGGTGGTAGCGCTTACCTAGGCAGAACATCGCCGTGCCCCAGCTGCCCTTCCTTCCCTTTCCCCCAGGTCCACACTTCTGTTCTCAGAGAAGGCAGGAGTGCATCTGCCTCTCCACTGTATGTGGGGGTCAGAACCACTGTCCTCGTTTTCACCCGTGCAGCTTTTCTTAAGAGCCTGGGGGAAACTGAAAACCAACCAGACATGGGGTGAAGGAGTGGGAGTCCAGAAGGTAAGAAAACATATCATTCGGACAAACTTAACATTTTCAAAAACATACATCACTCGCAGTATTTTTGAAGCATATTCTAGAGGTTCTCTGTAGAAAAGCGGATCTATTAGTCAAATGAAATTGGTAAATACTCACTGCTACAATCTATCCTCCCACTACCTCCTCTGCAGAGATTCACACACACATTAGCACACACTGAAGGTGGTGACAAATCCTGTAAATAAAAGCCTTGTTTAAATATGTTTAACCCAGCTGGACTTCCAAACATTTAGCCACAGAATCCTTTTCTAACATCTAGTGGCATCCTATAGAACTTGTATTCTAAAGAATATGCTGAACAAATACTATACTAAGGCTGACAAACATTTTTCCCATTTGAAAACAAAAATTAAACAGCCAGGCAAAGTGGCTGCGGTCCTAGCTACTTGGGAGGCTGAGCTGGGAGGATTCCTTGAGCACAGGAGTTTGAGGTTATAGTGTGTTATGACTGCACCTGTGAAAACACACTGCACTCCAGCCTGGGCAACATAGCGAGACATTATCTTTTTTTTTTTTTTTTTTTTTTTGAGACAGTTTCACTCTTGTCATCCAGACTGGATTGCAGTGGCAAGATCTCGGGTCACTGGAATCTCTGCTTCCTGGGTTCAAGAGATTCTCTTGCCTCAGCCTCCTGAGTAGCTGGGATTACAGGCACGCACCACCACACCCAGCTAATTTTTGTATTTTTAGAAGAGACAGGGTTTCGCCATATTGGCTAGGCTGTTCTCAAACTCCTGACCTCAAGTGATCCTCCTGCCTCGGCCTCCGAAAGTGCTGGGATTACAGGTGTGAGCCACTGTGCCCGGCCCCCATCTCTTAAAACACAAAAAGCCTTTCTAAGTCAAGGTCTAAGTTCAAATATATTACAAATAATTGTAATAAAGAATTCATTTTAGCTATAAAATGGAAACATTTCTAAGGCAGGAAAAAGATCATGAAAGGGAAATACTAAAAAGGTTTTGTATTTGCCTATTTCAAATTATTTTATAGAGATGTTAAAAAATGTTTTAAAAGAACATGGCCATCTTTTATTATGTTCAAAATTACATCAAACACACACAACACTATGTGAATAGTGTTTGATGCCCGGGTAAGTTTTGAAGAAAATCATCAAATGTCACTCAGTAGAGGCTTAGTCATTAAGTCATTAACTTCTAGGCCACAAGAAAAGTGATCATCACTGCCTAACATCAATATCTTTTCTGGTGAATGTATCGTTTCTATGCATACAGAGACTTACATAAACCTACTTGAAGATTCCTCAAGGATGCACTCCAGATAATTCTTAGAGAGGGGAAAAGAGTACATGTAAAATTTTTCTAAAGATACTTTAGGTTACTAAGTAAAATTTAACCTTAGGATGTAAGTCTATTAGTGGGAATCATGATGTAATGACATGAAAAAAATATTCCACATTTGTAGTTCAAAGAGATTGCAAATATATTTATATACTTAAAATGGTAAAGGACACTTAAGAATAAGAAAAATTTGGGGCAAGATTCTCCTTCAGACTTAATAGAGATCATAGGCCTTCTTATACATCATATATATATATATTTTATATATATATTCAAATTAATCAGGACCTAAGTTTTATTTGTGTAGAGGAAAATCTGGTGGTAATTAGAATTAGGAGGCAGAATAAGAGTGGCACAAAGTGTTCAGTAAGTAGACCAAGGGGAGAAACAGGTGCAGAGTAAAAAAAGGTAAGTTTTAGTACAGTCTAGATTTCCTAACTTTTGAGCTTTGCACAAAATCATGTAAACCAGGAGCTGGTCAGTTATAGCCCATGGGCCAAACAGGGCCTACCATCTGCTTTTGTAAATAAAGTTTTGTTGGGATATAGCTTCACTCATTCATTACATATTGACTCTGGCTGCTTTTACATAATCACAGCATAGCTGAGTAGTTGTCACAGAGACAGGATGGCCTACAAACCTTAAAATATTTCTCTTTGGCTCTTTACAGAAAAAGTCTGCCAACTCCTGGTCTCATCAAATGCTTCTCAAACTTTAGTGTGCATACTAATCACCTGGGGGATCTTGCTCTAATGCATATTTTGATTCAGTAAGTTGAGAGCGGAACCTGAGCGTCTGCATTTCTAACAAGTTCCCAGGTGCTGCTGATGCTGCTGGTCTGCAGGCCACTCTCGAGAAGCTCGAGTCCAGATGGCTGAGACTGTTGAACTGACTGAGAAAAGGAGAAGAGCCAACTGTGTAATATTTTAAAAAGTTTATTGCCTATGGTCTCAGAAAATGAAGTTTTCTCTTCTTGAAGCTTAAGAGTTCTCTCCTCTTTCAAGTCAAGTACAGTAATTCCTCACTTATCCAATGGTACATCTGCAACCTCATCAGTGTGGAGTATAGGTCCCAATTAGGAAATAAGAGGGGTATTGTAACACTCCAGAACAATAAAATAAGATTCAAAATAAGGTTCATAAGCAGGAGCAAACATCAAGAAAAAGTTACGTTCTAACTTTTTAGTGATATCTAAAGCAGATAAACATGCAACTTTCTTTTAAAACCACCCTTAAATAAATTTTGACATTTGAATATGTCAGCTTCATAATTAGGAAAGTTTTTATCAATAATACAGCATGTGATGTCAGGAGCATCCTGGATTCCCCAAAAGTCAATTCATAAAACCTGGTTATTTCCTTACCTTGTGACAACAATCCAGGGAGGGAGAGTCTTCGACTGCCTCCCTCTGTTTCTTCTTCTCTGATATCCACAAGACTTGAACTTTTCTTTCCTTGCATTGATTCCTGTTTAACCTGTTCTTCCCTGCTATCTTTCAAACCTTCTGGGCCAATGGCACTACTGCCTGCCTGAGCTCCAGTTTCACAAGGGGTTGTACTATAAAAGTTCATAACTTTCTTCAGTGACAAGGCACCAGCTTCGTAAGTAGCAGCCACTCTCACACCAACAGCAGATGCACAAGAGACCACCAGGCTGTTTAGGGCTGAGGTGCTTGTGGTAGGTGGGCTGTGGAGATTAGGAATTGCTTCTTCTATAAGAGGCTAAAATATACACACATAAAAAATTACATAAAAATATAATCCCTTATACAATAAGCAATCAATAAAAAGAAAGTTTAATATCCATCGCTGTTTGCTTTAAGAATCTAAAATGACAGGAGAAGTTCTCTTCACCTTCAACTAAAGGTATTCTCTTCTTGATCATGGAGTTAACACATTAAAAGGAAATGAGTACTCAAAATACAGTTCCTTTTCCAAAGTACTTCCTTTTGTCTGGATGTTGTATTTTTCTACGGTATTTAAAAATAAGCCTCAGCTGCTTTTATAAAATTAAATATAGTAAAAAGGTAGAGGGAAGAAAAAGCATGGAAAACACTGTCTTTAATACCATGTGCACTGTGACAGCCCTGGATGGAAGGTTGAAAAAATGCAAATTTCATTATTGATCACTTTCAGGAAAATTTATACAGACTACCACCTAGAAGTGGCAGGAAAAAAATTAGATTTTATGGAAAAAAAGCTTTCCCTGAAATGCTTTATAAATTGAAATTTAGATATAGCATATAGAGATGGAAAAATAAGTTATACCTATAACCTATCATCTCCCAAATTATGCTAAGCTTGAGTGCCTTTACTGGCTCATCAATGAGTTATTTTCTATGACCCTGGGGCTAGACAAGCTGTAGGATTACCTTTGCTCTTGCTACCACAGATGGCAAATGTGGTAGGTTAATAATTAAACATTTGGAACCAATGTTCTTAGTGTGATTCTAGAAGTGTACTAGAAAGTCAAACTAAAGTTTTCTGATATCTTAATGAAAAATCAGTAGAAATTTACTCTAAGCTATCAAACATCAATGTTCCCTAAAAAGGAAGGTCATTAAATGTACCTACCAAACACATTAAAAAGCTTTCATCTCATCAGCATAGATCATATTGAAAAATATGCTTCTTATTGTACCCAAAGATCTCAAAGGGAATATACACATTCCTTCATTTGTCCTAAATTAAAATACAAATATTGCGCGCGCGCGCGCGCGTGTGTGTGTGTGTGTATTTTAACACTGGTTTCTGACTTCTTAAAGGAAAGAATTCCTGGTACCTAGCAAAGACACGTAAGTACTCACCACATTTTGTTGAATTAAATGCTAAATTCAAAAGAGCTATTTACATGCAAATGAGTAGTCTGTAAATAGTCCATAAAATAAACAAATATACTTAATAAAACAAAAAATAAATACAAAGTCTATTACTTCTTTGGTGATACAGCCCCCATGATAGCTTGTTCAAAAGAATTAGTGTCACTATCTCCACTTTTTGTTCACAAAGACTCCTTACAGAAGCAGTGATGGTATTTAGAGGTAACTATTTTAGGGTGTTCTTGACCACTAGGTAGAGCAAAGTCACAAAACTCTACCTTATATAAACCTTGAACTACTGTTCTAACTGGCTCCTTCTACTTAATTATATTTAAAAATATAGTAAGTAAATAAGCCCTCCCCTACAAAAAACATAATTCGCAATTTTGATGAAATATATAATTTCAGGAATTCCAGTCAACCAATAATACTTTGGTTTATTTCCCAAGTGAGAGAGTCTCAGTTATATCTCACCAGAAGAGAAAAAACTTGCTGTAGAACACATAAATTCCTTGTGAATTAGCTGTATGATTGAGATGTTACTTACAGAGAATAAATTAAATGTAATAGAAACACACATTTAATTTAAATAAATTAAATTTAATTCAATAGAAACACACACATTGTTACTAGCATAAGTAACAAAAACTTCCAATGTTTAACAAAGTTAAAGGTAACAAGCATGTACAGTCTAAGAATTTTCTACATGCATTATTAAATTACTACTTTTGCTTTGTTCAGACTTTATAATACCTTTCTCCAAACAGCTTATCCTTGATTTTTAAAAAACTCAAATATCCACAAGTTTCAGTAAATGGATTGTGAAATAAAGACTATTTCTAAAAATACCTTCATGTTCGCATTCTGACACAGTAAACAATAAGAATTGAGAAGCAAGAGGCTATGTGGTTTCAAAAACCTAAAAAGAAACACTGCAGGGCAGATCTTTTATGATTATGATCTTTTGTTTTCTTAGAGTTTTGGTAAAGCAAAATCAAAAGGCCACACTGAGTGAAACACAGAAATAATCTTTTTTTTTTTTTGAGATAGAGTCTCGCTCTGTTGCCCAGGCTGGAGTACAGTGGCGCAATCTTGGCTCACTGCAACGTCCGCCTCCCAGGTTCATGCCATTCTCCTGCCTCAGCCTCCTGAGTAGCTAGGACTACAGGTGCCTGCCGCCCTGCCTGGCTAATTTTTTGTATTTTTAGTAGAGACGGGGTTTCACCGTGTTAGCCAGGATGGTCTCGATCTCCTGACCTCGCGATCTGCCCGCCTTGGTCTCCCAAAGTGCTGGGATTACAGGCCAGAAATAATCCTTTTAAAACAATTTATTTTAAGCGGGAACTCAAGCTTTACCATGTGCTACTGATAAACAGCTTCTGTTCACTCTACCATAAATCTTCAAAATGAAAATAGTTTTAATAAGATACATAAAGTAGGCTGGATATGATGGTTCCGCCTGTAATCTCAACACTTTGGGAGGTTGAGGTGGGAGGATTGCTTAAGCTCAGGAGTTTGAGATGAGCCTGGGCAACAAAGGTCAACCTCCTCTCTACTTAAAAATAAAATAAAATCAGCAGGTGTGGTGGCACGTGTGTAGTCCCAGCTACTTGGAAGTCTGAACTGGGAAGATCGCTTGAGCCTGGTAGATCAAGGCTGCAGTGAGCCACGATCGCACTACTGCACTCCAGCCTGGGTGACAGAGCAAGACCCCATCTCAAAAACAAACAAACAAAAAGATAAAATATTAGCCAGCTCTTCAAATAAAGCCTAGTAAGGACAACAGCTATAACTGAAAAAAACAAACATGTAATTGCCTGTAAGTTTTAAATCTGCCTACAACTGAAGGATCTGCCACAAAGCAACCTTCCCTGTTAAAGAAGGAAAGAACTTTTCTCTACAGAATTCTGAACAGTGTTACAAACACAAGTAAGAAGAATGTTTGTGAATGTATAGTTACATAAAAGTATTCAGGGCCTACCAACATTCAGTACCTTAGCCATAGAAAAAAAGTACTAGCAAGAAAAACAAAATGAAATGTTCCTACTTACAAAACAAGCCCAACATGACACCTTTCAATATCATAAAGGCCTAGAACTTAAACATAAAGAGTCATTTTGGATTAATCCAGGTTCTTTCCTTTATCTAGGCTTGCCTGACAAAACAAAATTATAGTCAAACTCAAAAAACAAAAAATGCTACCAAGCCTCACTCATTTTAAAGTTTCTAAAGAAAAGCTCACACAGTTCAACTCTAGAAACACTTTTATTTTATAAAATTTAGCAGGTACCTGAGATGGCACTGGCTTTTCACCATGCTCTGAGTCCTCTCTTACTGAATGATCTGACAGTTTCCGCAGGTATTCACTGACTGCTTGGGTGTCAGGGTATGATGGCACGTTTCTGGCAGCAGAAATTTCAGTTGTTCCCATGACGTTTTGTTGAGAGGATACGGCATCGCTGCTTGTGGTCTGAGCACTGACTGCATTCAGTTCAGTAGCAACAGACTGATCACTGGCTACAAGAGTGTTCTCAAATACTTCTTCCTGCCTGTCAAGGGTTTCAGTGGAGGGGCTGAGAGCAGTGCTGGGATGGTTTTCTGCCTGAGATTCTGTCAGTGTCACACCTAATGGGCAACAATGACTGTCTGATATAATCACATGGTCTTCTTTGTCAGTCATAGTAATCAAGAGCTGGCTGCACTGGTTGCATCGTTCTGGGACTGGCTTCAGATCTTGGGAAGGGAGGCATTGCACAAGGGCTAAGCTGTGGAAAGCACCACAGGCAACTTGAAGCACCACTCGCCCAGCAAGATGTTCTACCTTTTGCGGCTTTGTCACTGGGAAGGCAGTGGTAATGAGACCCAACTGACAACCGGTACCCCATGCCCAAATCTCTCTGCTTATTGACAATGCCAGAGTGTGTTCCTCGCCACATGCCAACTGTAAAATCCTGACTGCTAACAAAGGGCTGGCCTCAGAATCAGCAATGCTGACAGGGTTCGGTTCCGGCACATACTGCTGGTTGGCTACTGCACACTGGCCAGCAGAATTCTCTCCCCACATGTATGCGACACCATTGTCTGTCACTGCTCCACTATGGAAGCTTCCTGTTGCCACAGTAACAACATATTGCCCAACCAGGGCATTTTCTAGAATGGGGCTACTTGGACAAATCTCTGCTGGTCCACTTCTCCAGGGAAGGGTCCCAAAGCTGTAGACCTCACCATCTGAAGTTTCAAAAAAAGGAAAAAGAAAAAAAAAAGGGTTAGTGAATTAACTAAAAATTTTAACAGTAAACTTTTAGTGCCCTCTAGATTTAACCAAATTGGACTTTCTTTTTAAATTTTCCAAAGCAGTTGTAGAAATCTGGTTCAAGCACACAGTATTTAACATTAATTCATCTTTTTAAAAATGACTCATTTTAATATTCTGCACTATGGTGAGAATTTCTACAAATTGTAGGAGGCTACTCCTTTCCTTCAGCCTCATCCTACAAACTCCTCACATCAATACACTACTAATGGCCACCATCACAGGCTATTACAGAAGCAGATTCCAAGTGTTCAAAGGCAAAATAAACAATGATGTTAAAACAAAATAAGCAAAAACTAAGACAAAACAGACACATTCACTAATATCTGCAAGTCATTACTAGTAAACAAGTTGGAACAGCAGAAAATTATGCAATGGCTTAAAAATATTAGAGATTCATTTTGGCCAAAACTAAGAAATTAATTTTATGCCTCTAGGCTGTACAGAAAGCACCAGTTCTTAACAAGACATGGTTGTCTTCACATTGTACGGCACGTTATGTACAGTTTTGAGATGTTACATAAATATACAGGTTGAGTATCATTTATCCAAAACGCTTGGGAGCAGAGGGATTTTGGATTTCAGGTCCAGGTTTTGGAATGTTTGCCTTATACTTACTGATTGAGCATCCCAAATCTGAAATGTTCCAATGAGCATTTCCTTTGAGCATCATCACATCAGTGCTCAGAAAGTTCTGGATTTTGGATCATTTTAGATGTCAGATTTTTTAATGTGGGATGCTCACCCTGGACTTTTTGTACTAGATACTAGCTAGTCTTTCTGAGGTGAGATTTGTTTAAAAAGCAAATCAGCTTCTTCTCCAAAAAAACATCAAATGGCAGATGATGCCAGTGCAGCGGGAGGGCCTGGAGGCCTCAGGGAACCTGGGATGGGGAACCACAGCGACTTCCTTGGAGGCTTGGGCAGCAGCATCTGGGGCCAGGGTCAGGGCCACAGAGCTCAAAGAGGCAAGGCCGAGGATAAGGAATGGACACCCATCACTAAGCTGCGCTGCCTGGTCAAGGACATGAAGATCAAGTCCCTGGTGGAAATCTATCTCTTCTCCCTGCCCATCAAGGAGTCTGAGATCATTGACTTTTTCCTGGGGACCTCTCTCAAGGATGAGGTTTTGAAGGTTACGCCAGTGCAGAAGCAGACATGCACCAGCCAACACACCAGGTTCCAGGTGTTTGTTGCCACTGGGGACTACAATGGCCACTTGCTCCAAGGAGGTGGCCACTGCCATCCAAGGGACTATCATCCTGGCCAAGCTCTCCACTGTCCCTGTGCACAGATGCTACTGGGGGAACAAGATCAGCAAGCACCATGTGGTCCCTTACAAGGTGACAGGCTGCTGTGGTTCTGTGCTGGTGCGCCTCATCCCTGCACCCAGAGGCACTGGCATCCTCCTAGCCCTGGTGCCCAAGAAGCTGCTGATGATGGCCAGTATCAATGACTGCTACTCCTCAGCCAGGGGCTGCACTGCCACCCTGGCCAACTTCACCAAGCCCACCTATGATGCCATCTCCAAGATCTACAGCTAACTGGCCCCCAACCTCTGGAAGGAGACTGTATTCACTAAGTCTCCCTCTCAGGAATTCACTGGCCACCTTGTCAAGACCCACACCAGAGTCTCTGGGCAGAGGACCCAGGCTCCAGCTGTGGCTACAACACAGGGTTTTTATACAAGAAAAATAAAGTGAATTAAGCCTAAAAAATATTTAAAATAAAAAGCAAATCATAACAGAACAAAGCAAAAAAGCAAATGAACCTGTCAGCAGAATAACCAGCTAGCTTTAGAATTAATGAAGACACCAGTGAGTTGGGTATATAAATAACTTATGTATATCCAGATATGCTACCAAGTCTTAATTTTACTGTAGTATTGTGGGAATTTGGGAGCAGGTGCACATAATCTATGCTGGCTAAAAATTCAGTGAAACAAAGACTTGGCTATGGGTTTTGAAAAATACTGAACCAAGCCCACTATCCTTTCTTTTCCATATGACCAGAGACTTATGATTTTTTTTAATTAATGAAGAAATAAGCATTATTTTTTTCTCATAAGGCAGCAATTGAGTTGATGATGAAAACATGCAAACTTTATCTTTGACCTATTATACATGGTCACGTATACACTCAAGTTAACTCATCACATCTATATTAGTAAGGACTCAATAGTGGCTAGAGGGAAGATATGTGCATTTATTAGGAAATGTAGAGTCTGGATCAAGATGAGAAAATAAGCTCACTGGTTAAGTTCTTTTAAACTTTGTTTCCTAATACAACAATATACTTGGAAAAGCTCACCAAGTCTTTCAATTAACATTATTCCACTAGAAAGAGCAATACTGCAAACAAACGGATATTCAGATTCCCCTCCTTAAAAAAACAAAAACCAAAAACTGGAGCATATAAAAAATAGTGAAACAGGCCAGGCGCGGTGGCTCATGCCTGTAATCCCAGCACTTTGGGAGGCCGAGGCAGGCGAATCACAAGGTCAGGAGTTTCAGACCAGCCTGGTCAATATGGTGAAACCCCGTCTCTACTAAAAATACAAAAAAAAAATTAGCCGGGCGTGCTGGCGCTCGCCTGTAGCCCCAGCTGCTCAGGAGGCTGAGGCAGAAGAATCACTTAAACCTGGGAGGCAGAGGTTGCAGTGAGCCGAGATTGTGCCACCGCACTCCAGCCAGGGCAACAGAGCAAGACTCCGTCTCAAAAAAAAAAAAAAAAAAAAAGTGAATCAATGGAAGTATCTTCATTGAATTATGAGCTAATGGTCATATTTAACAGAGATGAAGAACCTTGAAAATTTCTAGCACTCAACCATTTCCTCAGCTGAAAAAGATAGCACTGGAGATCTGTATGCAATTTCAAACACACACTTGTATTAGATGTTTTTTTTTGGTAACTGTGACACTTAATACCAGGACACTGCTTAAACATAAACAATGATAGGCTATGTAAATATTTTTGAAAAGTTTTCCTTCAGTTGTCCTAGCCTTGAAGGTATGATTCTAAAGATACCATGTTTATAGTTGAATAACTTTTTTTTTTTGAGACAGGATCTTACTTTGTCACCTAGGCTAGAGTGCAGTGGCATAATCACAGTTCACTGCATGCAGCTTTGGTCTCCCAGACTCAAGCTATCCTCCTGCCTCAGATTCTGAAGTATCTGGAACTACAGGTGTGTGCCTCCATGCCTGGCTTATTTTTAAAATATTTCCTGTAGAGACACGGTCTCCCTATGTTGCCCAGGCTGATCTTGAACCCCTGAGCTCAAGGGATCCTTCTGCCTTGGCCTCCCAAAGTGTCGGGATTACAGGTGTGGGCAATTGTGCCCAGCCGGTTTCACTATCTTAATGAAAATATTCCAAATATATTATTGAAAACAATAGAATTCCACTTATATTTGCTTGAGAACTACATATTTTAAATTTCACAGGACAGGTATTGAATCTAGTTCACATTTTTAAAGTAAGATTGTTTTTAAAGTCCTGAATCATATAATAACATTATTATAAAACTGATATAAGACAGACTAAAAAGAAATCCATGTTTATCCCATACAACCACCAGGACCAGACTTAATTCTTGTTTCCTAGAATTTGTCTTCCTTTAGTTCCTAGAAAGAAAATACCAAATCATTATTTAATATCTCAATAAATGCTTGCACAGCAGAAATATATAAATTAGTGAAGTAGATGGCAATCGGTGCCCAAATCAAATCTGCCAAGATTGAGTTGATAAAGCGCCATTAAGATTAAAGGTAACTCTAAAATTATAGCACGTTTCTGTAATAGACTCATAGATTTTATAATATGTCTTGTGAATTGCTATTTATGTCTGAAAAAAAAAATTATACTGCGAAAGTTCAGCCAAGTGGCTTTAAAAGCCGGCTTTGAAATCAGACTGAGTTCCAGTCCTGACTCTGACACTTCAATAGCTGTGTGTGCTTGGGAAAATGTAATCTTCCTGACTTTCAGTTTCCTTATCTGTGAATAATAATAGAAGCTACCTCACAAGGTAGTAGTGCAGATTCAGTGAGATAACACATGGAAAGGGCTTAGTATAGTATCTGGCACACAACTGCTTAAGAAACATTAGCTATTATTAGCATTATTATTCTGATAGACTTAATGAACAAAAGTTATAGCAAAAGAGTCTCTGAATAGGTGACCTTTTAAAAGTTAATTTTTCATTTATTTATTACTATAAAAATTTAAAACTATAGTTCTCCCGTTTATTCTAGTTAACGGTATATTTTAAATTTAAAAACTAATCTGATTTCTGATAAGGGAGTAAGAATATATCTTGAAAACAGAAACAGTTCATTAAGAAACCCTAGGCCAGGCGCGGTGGTTCATCCCTGTAATTCCAGAACTTTCGGAGGTCGAGGCAGGTGGATCACCTGAGGTCAGGAGTTCAAGACCAGCCTGGCCAACATGGTGAAACCCCATCGCCACTAAAAATACAAAAAAAAAAAACAGTCAGGTGTGGTGGCGGGCGCCTGCAGTCCCAGCTACTTGGGAGGCTGAGGCAGGAGAATGGCGTGAACCTGGGAGGCAGACCTTGCAGTGAGCCAAGATTGTGCCACTGCACTCCAGCCTGGGTGACAGAATGAGACTCCGTCCCAAAAAAAAAGAAAAAAAAAAAATTAGCTAGGTGTGGTGGTGGGCCCGTGTAACCCCAGCTGCTTGGGAGGCTGAGGCGGGATAATCGCTTGAACCTGGGAGGCAGAGGTTGTGGTGAGCCGAGATCACGCCATTGTACTCCAGCCTGGGCGACAAGAGCAAAACTCTGTCTCAAAAAAATAAAAAAAAGAACCCCTAGTATCCAATTATTCCCATACCTGACTTTCCACATTCAGGCATTCGTTAGCATTGCAGTTCGTATTTGTTAAGCCATTCTCTTCATTACCTTCAGTCAGAAGAACTCCATGTTGCACTCCGAGGGCTGCCTGCAAAACAGTCTTTCCTCCCCAGCCTGGCAATCTCTCTGGTGTTATGGGAAAGGATCCTGCCTGCCAGATATGGACCAGGCCTCTTTCTTTGGATCCTTCTGCCTCTGTTGAGCTACAAACATCAAGAAACATAGCTTAATTGTTTCTACAATTCAGAACGGTATCCTTTGTTCTTAATACTTTTCATGATTGTACCTTTTACTAGCACATGGATGACTGGGTCAGACAGCTGAATTAGCACCTATTTTATGCTTTGGTTATGCTCATAGGAGCCAAAGTAAAACAACTATTTATGTAAAAGACTAAAGGATGTGGGACATGGTCGCTCACGCCTGTAATCCAGCACTTTGGGAGGCCGAGGCAGGCAGATCACAAGGTCAGGAGCTCAAGACCAGCCTGGCTACTATGGTGAAACCCCATCTCTAGTAAAAATAAAATTAAAAAAAATTAGCCGGGCATGGTGGCATGTGCCTATAGTCCCAGCTACTCAGGAGGCTAAGGCAGGAGAAGCGCTTGAACCCGGGAGGCGGAGGCTGCAGTGAGCCAAGATCGTGCCACTGCACTCCAGCCTGGATGACAGAGCGAGACTCCGTCTCAAAAAAAAAAAAAAAAAAAAAAAGACTGAAGGACACTCTAAACCCACAAATTACTTTTCTCCATCTAAGAAGCAAACAAAACTTGGGCTATTTTTAGAAGTTTTAGCATTTGGTAGCATAAAATTCCAAGATTCTAACTTCTCAATATATTCACTCCTTGTTTAGATATTAAAGCTATAACATGCCCAAGTTGAAGTCTTATCATAAAATTTTATAGTAAGTAAAAAGTACTTGATGAGAACAATATGAGATACAGGAATTCATTTCACTTTATGTTGAGTTTAAGTGTAGAATTGCTATTTAAACTTTTAGGAATCAAGTTTGTAATAGATATCAGTAAAATCCTTCATGCTTTGTTCAAGTTCTAGCTAAAGAATCCTACACATCTGATGATTTTGGTTTAAAGAATACAAAACACACAGCTGCACAGTAATGACCATATCCTAACTGCCCTCTTCTAAGAAAAGGCCGTGTTAAGATATGTGCCACCACTGGTAATACATTTTTTCAGTTTCTTTTTTCTAGAACACTGATGCCAAAATTTTAATGAGGCACAGAAACTCTTTTGAATAGCTAGGAATTTCTCTACGTTTGCTATATAATATTCCCTTAAATGATAACTGGACATAACCATGGTTCTATAGGAGGAACACTACACATTTAACCTTCCTTTTAGATATCTTCCATAACTAGTTCTTTAAGGATGGAAGATGATTAAGATTAGCAAGGCTACTTCTAAAAACCTGAAATTATTTGTGAGGGAAAAATGGCTACAAGCACTTTAAAATGATTAAATGAAGACATTTAGTGCTTCTTACAAAGCTTACAACTAACTAGCCTTCTTTAAAATTTGTTTTATCTTTACCAATCAACTAACTACAAATGTCACTATTCCCACTTAACAACCATCAACAAGAAAATTAAAACGAAGAGAAGCTACACATATGTGAAGCTGTTTGCTATGTTTTCCTAGGAGGATAAGAGAAAAGGAAGAAATGGTTTTACCTTCTCTTCTTTGAGTCCATCGGTCAGTGGGAACACTCCATCACCAAATCATTCCTTCTTTACAGAAAGTCTATCAAGACCTAAACAGTACAATACAAGTAAGGAAAAGAGCAGTAAAAGAATATTTTACCCCTTCAGACATAAAAAAAAAAAAAAAAAAAAACCCCAGCCCTCTAACAAGTGCACATTCACTAGGAAATAAATATGCAGTAAAACTATTTAAACTATTTCATATCTTGCCTGCCAAAGTCAAACATAGGCTGAGCCTGCCCACTAAGCTTATAAAAATGCCCGTTGACTGTCAAATGTAATGTCAAAGAAAAAGACTACTCACAATTAAGCTGTACTCTTTCAGGCAATAGATTTTGTTTTTTATTATAAAGAAAAAAGTTCAATCTGAAAATCAATACGTTAAGTACAAAAAGTACATACACATTAAGGTTACTTTTTAAATGCTGTATCTGGAAAGCATGAAGACTTAAATACTAATTAACTCAGATTTTCTAAAATCTCTTCAGTAATGTATCTGATTCAAGTAGTTTTAATTTATACTTTTCAGTAATGCACAAAAAATTATGTCATTAAAATAGGAAGTTTTCCACTTATTGGAAGGAGGAACATTTTCCCCAAATCACCTTCAATTCAGACCAACATGCCTTGTAACTCAAACGGTTGAAAGAAGTCTGAACTTTAAATCAGCTGTTTTAAAATCCACCTTTAATAGAAAATAGCTACATGAAAATTATGGTTACAAATATCATAACCCATCAGTTTAGAAACTCAGTATGTAATAAAATAAGAGATAGAAAAATAAACAGAAATGCTGAGTGCATTTCAACTCAAAAAACCACATTTGTAAGGGTAACAAAACACATGAAAACAAAAGCACTTAGGTCTTATTTGTGTAAACCATAAAAATATTGGGGCCAAATTTGTGGTTTTTCTGCAAAAGGATATGGAATGGTCACTGTGTTCTGGAAACAGCCCATACTGGCAGGAGTGATCTACGGTCCATCTGTTTCCTCCAGGTTGCCTGTGAATTCTTACCATTTCCCATCTGTACATCTGAAGAAAATTACTTTCTACCTAATGCTTATTTTAGAAAGATTATGAATCATTCAAAGTTGGAAGATGGATACTATGTTAACAAGAGATATATCTGAATAAATTTAATAAATGCTATTCATTTAATAAATACAATTAAGTGCTACTATGCTTTGTCCATGATAGTAATTAGCCTTTTGTAAAATGCACAGTTCATGGTGTACAGAGAAATTCTGCCACCAGATCTAATCTGTGCTTATCTATCACAGATCATGGAGTTACTATGCCCTTGATTAAATTTCAACAATATGTAGCGGAAGCCAGAGAATTATTCTACGAGGATGTGGAAGCACACAAGCACACCTTACTTCACACAACTGGCACACTATATGTAAACGGAATTTTGTCCTACTGACTAACAATCAAAAATGTCGAGAATTTTTTGACAAAATGAATCAAGTCAACCTTTATTCTCTCTTAGTGCCAGATTTTTTTAGTACAGTTTTCTTAAAGTTGGTTATACCTTACTCAATATTATTTATCACCACCACTCATTTTTTTAACCTAAATGGAATTAAAACTCTACGAACTGTTTTTACAACTTTCTTTTCTTACTTACATATAGGGTAGGCCAAATAATGGTCTCCAAAGGTGTCCAGGTCCTAATGCCCAGAACTTGTGACTCTGTTAGCTTGCATGATACTAATCAACTCTCCTTCAGATAGAAAGATTATCCTGGTTATCCAGGTGGACCCAATGTAACCATAAACATCCTTAAAACTGCAAGAGGGAGGCAGGAGGAGAATCAAAGAGACATGATGATGGAGGCAGGGTCAGAGGTGATGCTACACTGCTGACTGAACATGGGAGAAGGCAGCCATGAGCCAAGGAATGCGGTGACAGGTAGCAGCTGAAAAGGCAAGGAAAATGATTCTTTCCTAGAGTGTCCAGAAAAAAGCAGCCATGCAGACACCTTGACTTTAGGCTACAAGACCTGTGTCAGACTTTCAGCCTACAGAACTTGAAGGTAATATATTTGTGTTATTTTAAGCCACTAAGTTCGCAACAATTTGTTGCAGCTGCAGTAGAAAACTAACATACTATTTCATAGACATCTTTTTATATCAGTATTTACAGATCTCTCTCTCTCTCTTTTTTTTTTTTTTTTTTTTAAATAAGACGGAGTTTTGCTCTTGTCACCCAGGCTGGAGTGCAATGGCGCGATCTCAGCTCACTGCAACCTCCACCTCCCAGGTTCAAGCAATTCTCCTGCCACAGCCTCCCGAGTAGCTGGGATTACAGGCACCTGCCATTACACCCGGCTAATTTTTATATTTTTAGTAGAGACAGAATTCCACCATGTTGGCCAGGCTGGTCTCGAACTCCTGACCTCAGGTGATCCACCTGCCTTGGCCTCCCTGTAATCATGCTGCGATTACAGGCATGAGCCACCTTAAGCCACCATGCCCAGCCCCGATCTCATTTTGTTTTAATGGTGTTTAATATGTTTGACATCTTCCAACAAGATATGTCTGCCTGAAACTCAAACAGGGCAATGAAGAAAAGAAAACTGATTGCTGAGGAAACATAACTAAAAAGGAATATTGCAACTAAATGTAGGGAGCTTACGTTATTAAAGTTTTATCCTCACATACTTAAGTAAGGGTGGTATTTACCAACTCTATTTAATCTAACATTCTTTCTCAATTATGTATCCATCCAGGAAAAGAAAGTAAATGAAAAATTTTTGTCTTTCTAATATTTTTATGATTGTCTCTCCAGGAAATCTATTAAGACTCACCTCAACCAGTCAAATAGCATTCAAATTTCTGTATGTTGTTTCATTGCTTTAACATTTTAAGTTTTTATAAAATTGCCTAATCATAAGACTTCCTCTGGGGATATTTCTTCCAGAGGAGCTTTAAGGTCTTTACATTCTTTAAGAGGGGCAAGATCCTTATACTCTGCTGCTTTTCTTCTGTTACAGTAACTTCCCGGCATAGACCTGTTAACCAGCTCTGATAAAGAAGCCATGTGATGCTGCATAAACAGCATTTACTGTGGGACCCTCTCTTACCTTGCATGGCTTCCCTACAGATAAATGGCATCTCTATAAAATGAGCAAACCAGACATCAGCCTTCTGAGCCACAGGACACAGCTAGATCCACTTTAAAGTATACCACTCTATCCTTCAAATTATCATCTCCTTCACAGTGATATGTAAAGTAATTAAACCCCAGGTGGCCCTTTAAACAAAGAGCAAACCTGGCTTCTTAATAAACTGATGCCACTTTTAGACTCCACTGGATACACACCCTTCTGTTACATCTAACAGAGAAATAAGTTGTCTTGTATAAGCCAAGGATATCATTTTAACACCATGTCCTGGAAGTGCCCTTAACAACAACAAAAACAACAAAAATCTAGTCTAGATGTCCCAACTATTGTTAGAAAGATGAGCTACAACCATCTACAGGTCTACAATACCTTAACCAGAAATCTATAGCTCTGAAAATTAAGTTTTTTCAATAATGCCTTTGGTGGCAAAACCTAATCTGACCTGATTTCATCTCACAGCAAAATCTGACCTGAACTAATACGAGGTTATTTATCACTTTTATCCCTTTAGTGTGAATATTCATACATTGTGTTGTAGAAATATCAATATGAATGTAATAAGGCAGCACTACAGATCCTATAGGAAGTGTTATATAATATATGGCTTATGCATCTTATTCTAAAGAACAAAACGTAAATCTGAATTCCAAAATGCATCTTGCCCCAAGGGTTTTGAATAAAGGACCAGGAATCTATATTCAAAAACAACTACTATCATTTTTTAGTAGAAGTCTCAAAACTTTTAACTATTTTATACTTAACTTGGTTTCTTTTATGTACTTTGAACATTTATTAACTATTTTAAACTTAACTTGGTTTCTTTTATGTACTTTGAACATTTATTTCATTTTAGAGAGTACACTGGAGAGTTGCATTGCTTCCAGTGGGACAGTCCACTGATGCTTTCATGCTTTTTTTGTTTTGTTCTTTTTGTTTCTTCTTCATTTTTGAGACAGTCTTGCACTGTCGCCCAGGCTGGAGTGCAATGGCGCGATCTCAGCTCACTGCAACCTTCGCCTCCGGGGTTCACATGATTCTCCTGCCTCAGTCTCCCGAGTAGCTGGTGGCGCACACCACCACACTTGGATAATTTTTTGTATTTTTAGTAGAGACGGGGTTTCACTATGTTGCCCAGATGGTCTTGAACTCCTGACCTTGTGATCTGCCCACCTTAGCCTCCCAAAGTGGTGGGATTACAGATGTGAGCCAATGCGACTGGCCAATGATCTATTTTAATGACGATGATTTACATTTGTTTCCAAAGTTTTAAGCCAATTTTATGGTGAACACTCATGGAGCACCAAAATGATTTTTTGCAAGGAATATCCAGCCTGCAAATACTCAGTCGACTCATCTTTTCAATGGAGGAAGGAAGCCTGGATTCTTAAGTTTCATACAATGCTGCTAATTTGGTGAAGAAGAGGTGAATAAATGAGAGATGCTCTGGAGGCAGAGCAACTAGTACTCGGTGATTAGACAAAGGTGGGGGATCAAGGAGAAGGAGGTATCAGAAATGTTCTCTGGTTCTGCCTCAAACAGCTGTGTGTTGGTGGCTCCATTTCCTGAAATGGGCAAGAGTGAGGGAGATGGGACTCTGAAGCCAAGATAAGATTCTGGTAGGATAAAATTTATTTTTAAGTTCAAGATGTCTGTGAGAAACCCAAGAGTACATATCAAGTAAGCAGTTAGAATATATGAGCACGGAATTCAAGAGAAAAATCTCAGCTGCTGCTAAACTTGGGAGGGCGTATGGATAATGTTTAAAAACAAGACAATGGATAATGCCATTGGGGTATATGGAAAGACAAAGGAAAGCACAGGGTCAAGCTTTAAGGAGCTCCTGCACCTGGAAGTTGGATAGGATGAGGACTGGACAAAGAGGACTGAGATTGAGAAGTGGTCTGCTATGGGCACATG